CATCAAGAGACAAATTATTTAAAGAGAACATCAACAAGGAAACAATGGCTTTGAATGACACACTGGAACAGATGGATTTAACAGATATATTCAGAACATTCCATCCTAAAACAGCAGAATACATATTCTTTTCAAGTGTACATGGAACATTCTTCAGAATAGATTACAAAATAGGCCTCAAAATAAGTCTCAACAAATTCAAGAAGATCGAAGTCATACTATGCATCTTTTCTGACTACAATGCTATGAAACTAGAAGTCAACCACAAGAAAAATTTGGAATGACGACAAACACATGGAAGTTAAATAACATGCTATTAAACAATGAATGGGTCAACCAGGAAATTAAAGAAGAAATAAAGTAAGTACATGGAAACAAAATGACAATGAAAACACAACGGTCCAAAAACTGGAATGCAGCAAAAGTAGTTCTAAGAGGGAAGTGTATACCAATACAGGCTTAACTCAGGAAGCAAGAAAAATCTCAAACAACTTAAAATTACAGCTAACGGAGCTATAGAAAGGACAAACCAAACCTAAAGCCAGAAGGAAGGAAGAAATAAATATTAGAGTAGAAATAAATGATATAGAAACTAAAAAGGCAATAAAATAGATCAATGAAACCAGGAGCTGGTTCTTTGGGGAAAAAAAGGGGTTAAAGTTGATAAACCTCTAGCCAGACTTACCAAGAAAAAAAATAAAGGACTCAAATAAATAAAATCACAAATGAGAGAAGAGAAATAACAACCAACACCATAGAAATACAAACAATTACAAGAGGGATCTCTGGGTGGCGCAGCGGTTTGGCGCCTGCCTTTTTGGCCCAGAGCGCGATCCTGGAGACCCAGGATCAAATCCCACGTCAGGCTCCAGGTGCATGGAGCCTGCTTCTCCCTCTGCCTATGTCTCTGCCTCTCCCTCTCTCTGTATGACTATCATTAAAAAAAAAAAAAAAAACAATTACAAGAGAATATTATGAAAAACTATATGTCAACAAATTGGACAACATAAAAGAAATGGATAAATTGCTAGAAATATATAATCTACCAAAACTGTAATAGGAAGAAAGAGAAAATATGAACAAACTGATAATCAGCAAAGACACTGAATCAATAATCAAAAAACTCCCAACAAACAAAAGTCCAGGATGCTTCATAGGTGAATTCTACCAAACATTTAAAAACGAGTTAATCTGTTCTTCCCCAAATATCCCAAAAAATAAAAAAGGAAAACTTCCAAATTCATTCTGAGGCCAGCATTACCCTGATACCAAAGCCAGATAAAGATATCACTAAAAAAGAGAACTACAGATCAATATCCCCAGGGAACATAGATGCAAAAATCCTCAACAAAATACTAGCAAACCAAATCCAATAATACATTTTAAAAAAAATCATTCACCATGATCAAATGGGATTTATTCCTGGGTTGCAAGGGTGGTTCAACATTTGCAAATCAATAAATACATATATCACATCAATCAGAGAATGGGTAAGAACCATATAATCATTTCAAAAAACATAGAAAAAGCATTTGACAAAGTACAATATCCATTCATGATAAAAATCCTCTATAAATAGGTTTAGAGGGAACATACCTCAACATAATAAAGGCTGTAGATGAAAGATCCAGAGCTAACATCATCCTTAAGGGGGAAAAACTGGTTGATTTTCCTCTGTGGTCAGGAACAAGACAAGATGTCTACTCTCCCCACTTTTATTCAACATAGTATTGGAAGTCCTAGACACAACAATCAGACAGCAAAAATAAATAAAAGGCCTCCAAATCAATAAGAAAGAAGTACATCTTTCAGTATTTGCAGATATACTATATATAGAAAACCTGAAAGACCACCAAAAGATTGCTAGAAGTTATAAACGAATTCAGTAAATTTCAGGATACAAAATCAATGCCCAGAAATCTGTTGCTTTTCTAAACACCAATAATGAAGCAGCAGAAAAGAAGTTAAGAAAACAATCCCATTTACAGTTGCATCAAAAATAATGATGTCTAGGAATAAACCTAACCAAAGAGGTGAAAGACTTTTTGCTCTGAAAACAATAAAATACTGATGAAAGAAACTGAAGACAACACAAAGAAAAAGAAAGAAATTCCATGCTCATGACTGGAAGAACAAATATTGCTAAAATGTCTGTAACTACCCAAAGCAATCCATGCATTTTATGCAATCCCTATCAAAATACCAACAGCAGGGCAGCCCCAGTGGCGCAGCGGTTTAGCGCTGCCTGCAGCCCAGGGCATGATCCTGGAGACCCTGAATCGAGTCCGTCAGGCTCTCTGCATGGAGCCTGCTTCTCCCTCTGCCTGTGTCTCTGCCTCTCTCTCTCTCTCTATCTCTGTCTCTATGAATAAAGTCTTTAAAAAAAATTAAAAAAAAAATACCAACAGCATTTTTCACAGAACTAGACAAACAATCCTAAAATTTGTATGCAATCACAAAAGACTCCAACTAGCCAAACCAATCTTGAAAAAGAAAACCTAAAGACATCATAATTCTGGACTTCATGTTATATTACAAAGCTGTAGTGACCAAAACAGTATGGTACTGATACAAAAACAGGCATATAGGGGATCCCTGGGTGGCGCAGCGGTTTAGCGCCTGCCTTTGGCCCAGGGCGCGATCCTGGAGACCCGGGATCGAATCCCACATCGGGCTCCCGGTGCATGGAGCCTGCTTCTCCCTCTGCCTGTGTCTCTGCCTCTCTCTCTCTCTCTCTCTCTCTCTGTGTGTGTGTGTGTGTGTGTGTGTGACTATCATAAATAAATAAAAATAAAAAAAAAACAGGCATATAGATTAATGGACTAGAACAGAAAACCCAGATATTAACCCACAACTATATGGTCAACTAACCTTTGACAAAGCAAGAAAGAATATACAGTAGGAAAAAGTCTATTCAATGAATGGTGTTGGGAAAACTGGACAGCAATATACAAAAGAAAGAAACTGGATTTATACCATACACAAAAATAAACTCAAAATGGATTAAAGACCTAAATGTGAAACCTGAAACCATAAAAATCATAAAAGAGAACAGAGGCAGTAACTTCTTTAACATCTGAGAAAGCAACTTTTTTCTAGATATATCTCCTGAGGCAAGGGAGACAAAAGCAAAAATAAACTATTGGGGCTAGGGGATCCCTGGATGGCTCAGCGGTTTAACGCCTGCCTTTGGCCCAGGGCAGGATCCCGGAGTCCCTGGATTAAGTCCCATGTCGGGCTCCCAGCAGGGAGCCTGCTTCTCCCTCCTCCTGTGTCTCTGCCTCTCTCTGTCGCTCTCTCTATGTCTATCATAAATAAATAAATAAATCTTAAAAAAAAAAAAAAAACTATTGGGGCTATATCAAAATAAGAAGCTTCTGCACAGTGAAGGAAACAATCAACCAAACTTAAAAGGCAATCTATGGAATGAGAGAAGATACTTGCAAGTGACATATCTAATAAAGGGTCAGCGTCCAAAATACATAAAGAACTTATACAACTCAACAGCCAAAAAAAAAAAAAAAAAAAAATCCAGTGAAAAAATGAGAAGATATGAACAGCTCTTTCTCCAAAGAAGACATCAAATAGCCAACAGACACATGAAAAGATGGCCAACATCACTCATCATCAGGAAAATGTAAATCAAAACTACAATGAGATATCACCTCATACCTGTCAGAATGGCTAAATCAATCAAAAACATAAGAAACAACAGATGTTGGTGAGGATATAGAGAAAAAGGAACACCTGTGTACTGTTGGTAGGAATGCAAAGTGGTGCAGCCACTGTGAAAAACAGTTTGGAGGTTCCTCAAAAAGTAAAAAATAGAACTAATTGCACTGTTAGGCATTTACCTAAAAGAATACAAGAGCCCGGGCAGCCTGGCTGGTTGGTGGTGGTTTAGTGCCACCTTCAGCCCAGCATGTAGTCCTGGAGACCTGGGATTGAGTCCCAGGTCGGGCTCCCTGCATGGAGCCTGCTTCTCCCTCTGCCTTGTGTCTCTGCCTCTCTCTCTGTGTCTCTCATGAATAAATAAATAAATCTTAAAAAAAAAAAAAAAAAGAATACAAGAGCCCTAATTCAAAGGGATACATAAACCCGATGTTTATAGTAGCATTATTTATAATATCCAGGAAATAGAAGCAGTCCAAGTGTCCATGGATTGATGTATGGATAAAGAAGATGTGGTATACATACACACAGTGGTCTACTAGCCACAAAAAGAATGAAATCTTGCTATTTGCAATAATATGGATGGAAGTGGAGAGTATAATGCTAAGTGAAATAAGTCAGAGAAAGACAAATACCATATGATTTTACTCATATATGGAATTTAAGAAAGAAAATAAATGAGCAAAGGGGGGGGAGAGAAAGAGACAAATCAGGAAACAGACCCTAATTAAAGAGAACTGATGGTTACCAGAGGGGAGGTGAGTGGGGGGATGGGTGATACAGGTGATAGGAATTTAGGAAGGCACTTGTCTGACGAGCACTTGTCTGATGTATGGAAGTGTTACATCACTATATTGTATACCTGAAATTAATAGGACACTGTATGTTAGCAAACTGGAATTAAAATGAAAACTTAAACAATTTCGTTAACATTAATCACACTGAATATTTCATCTATCTTCCCCAGAGGAAACACCAAATAGTGTAGTAAACATTTTCACTCATCTGGTATAAATCTAAAATGTGTAGTGTAGTAAACATTTTCACTCATCTGGTATAGTGTAGTAAACATTTTCACTCATCTGGTATAGTGTAGTAAACATTTTCACTCATCTGGTATAAATCTAAAATGTAGTAATTGAAAATGTCATAACTATAGATGTATTTTTTAATGAAATTCTTCTCAGTTTAAAATTATTTACTGCTTCTCCCTCTGCTTATGTCTCTGCTTCTCTCGCTCTCTTTCATGAATAAATAAATCTTTTTAAAAATAAAATTATTTACATACTAGGTCATTTGCATCACAAATAATGAGACTAGTCGCTTACATGAGACAGGAAGCTGGCTGTGGACTGGGATGATGGTACATTAGAATGAGAACGGGCGGCTGAGGATGGCTGTGGAAGGCGTGGCTTCACAGAAGTATTTGAGGTGTATCCAGGGCCCTGCAGTTCCTAGAAAGCAATACAGAGGTGAGCAAAATAATTGTCAACCTACACCTAGAATTGCAAAATCAAAATGTATTTTGCAGACATAATTTCAATCTTAGATACTGAACATCTACAAAGTCATAAGCCAAAGTATCAAGCAAATGCTTCTGAGTTACTCTTTGAAAACTAAGCATATGCTTAAGAAGATGCCTTCACACTGCTAACTGAAAAAAGCATGAGATGGAAAACACCTCGATGGTATGCTAGTAAGCTGGTTTCTAATTTTTACTAAAGACTCCATAGTAGTTCTGGCATATAACTTGGAAAGATCCTCTACAACTATTATTAGGACTTTAATGTATGCCTGCAACTTTAAAATAGAGACATATATTTCAATAGAAAGTGTACTGTTTTTAAAGGACACATGTTTCTGTCATGCAGATTAAATCATTTTTGCTATTCTCCAAACAAGCTAAACATACTCTCACATTGGGCCTTTGCACTTGCTTGAACTCCTGTATGGAAAATTCTTCTTTCCAGTATCCTCAAGGCATACCTGAAGAAGGTGTTTGCCTCTCTTAATCTAAACTTAACACAGAGTACAGTGCTTCATTTGTTACCACAGGAAAGGAGAGGTATAGAATGTAATGATATTTATTCAGATTTTATAATTGCTAGTATCAGATAATGTTGAAAGTATACTTGAATGTATCTAAGGCACATGAAGAAAATATGTAAGTATATCAAAGAATGGCATTATTTTTTGCTTAAATTATTTATATTGGAAAAAAAAAGACCTCACTTTTACATCCAAAGTGTGTTGAAGTTTTAGACGCACAGATTCTTGTTCCTGACGCTGTATGATATCTTGACATTCTGCAAACTGCAAAGATGCCTACAATCAAGCAATCACATGTGGTTTATCCTCCACTCTAATTTTATTTTATTAATCTATAAATACAGAGTTGCCATCTCTTCAAAGGAACTTCCCCCACTCTCAACACACTAACTTACATTTATCTATTTATTTCAGTAAACTTAGAACAACTGGAGGTCATGGCTTTATTCTCTGTGTCCCCAGTATCTACACAGCATTTAGTTTGTGAGGGGCATTCAAAAGGATGAAGAGATTAAGGATGAAATGACCAAAGAGTTTTAGCAATATAAAAAAATGTACAGAGAAATAGCCACAACTCAAAATCTTTAATTTTTTAAATTTTTATTTATTTATTTTTTTCACAACTCAAATTCCTATCATGTTTTAAAATCAAAGTTGGCATAGGAGGGATCACAGGTCATTTTACCTAACCATAAAAGCTCTAATTTCTTAAGAATCAAGGACCAGTCCGGGTACATTTTTAGACTTCCAGGGTTCTCAGTGACAAGAAAGATTCACTCCTCTATGATAAATGGCAATTACAAATACAGCGTCATTAATCCTTCTCACTCCTTAAGCTGTTTTCTGCCTCCATTTTCTGGACCACAACAAATGTCAGACATTTAGCATCAAGTTGCCATCTTACTGGTATTAACAACAGTATTCTACCTAGTGTTCAAGTCATTCTGTGGCAGTAGGTCAGACTGCAGATGGATTTATTCAGTAAACTAAGGACATCAGGAGCATCTTACATCTTATACCTTACTGCTCCTGTAACTGTGTTAGCCTGAAAAAGAGAATTTTGTAAAATATATGCATACTATACTTTAACACTTAGAAGAGCCTTCTCCATAGGATATGGTTTTTCCTTATACTCTGTGATATAACAGAGATTTGGTTTCTATCAACATGAGCTTTTATTCAGGACAAGGCTACTTAATAGCTATTTAGTTGATAATTACTTTACACATTTAGTTAATAACTACCTTATCAAGAGCAACTTCCATATTAGCAACCTTTTCTTTCAAACGGCGTTCCTGTGATCTCAGGACTTCTAGTTCTCCAGCCATCTTGTTTTTTTCTGTTGCAACAGTACTCAATTCCTGGCTTAATTTAGTCTTCTCTTCTTTTAGAAAATGCTTTTCCTATAATTATAGAGGAAAAAATATATCAGAAATAATGTACTGATGTAGATGCTCTGATGTGATGGAGATATGAAACATATAAATATCTGAACTACAGTTAATTCAAATGCCATTTAATTGCTTATGAGTTGTAGCTGGGAGCCATTAGAATTGTTACCATGTACTCTCTTATTCTTATCACTACTGGCATTATTACCTCTTTCTTGGCTTATTAAATCTTGGATAAAACCTATAAAATATGTAAAATATGTATTAATTTCACAAGTTGTTTCCCTTCTGTTTGAAGGGAGTGTCTGTGGGTTTTAAATACCTTCCTGTGGGTGGGGGCAGACACCTGTGATGACAGCAGGTAGTGACCTCTTATGCTCTAAGTTTTCTCAGGGAGGATGAGGATAAGCACTCCTTTAGGTCCAAATGGGCAAATAATGGAAGAAGAAAAGAAACAAATTTACGATAAGAGAAAAGGAGGAAAGAACCCAAAAACAGGAAGTAAGTCAGTCCATATGATGAGGGCTCTGCATAAACACATACATTTGTACATATTTGGGACTGTTTAGCCTCACTCTAAAAAAGTACGTCAGCAGCTCCTTTTGGGCATGGGAAAGCAATTAACTTGAGCTGCTGTCTTCTATGCATGTTCTTTACTTCCTCACCTCCATTACAGTCAGTTCTCACGTAACTTCTTTTGAAAATGTTGATTTATTTCAAAGTGACTGATGTATCCGGGAACGTCTGAGCACAACACTGATTTCACACTTATTATGCAGTTTCATTTATGAGAAATACTAAGTCACACAAAACTGTGCCAAGCTGAACAGAGCTGTGTAGGAATATACAAAAAGCATACATGCACACTCCTCAAACACCCATTTACTACTACCTCAGTTTACCTTGAGTTATGAGTCACATCCATATACATCTAGTGTTACAGAAAACTCCCCTTATACCCCCCCCATCATACCTCATAAGCCACAACCCTCTAATGCAAACTTCCACAAGCAAACTTCAGGGCTTCTTCAAGATAAAGGCCCATGTTTATTGTATTACTTATGTATTTTTCTCCTCATTTAACCTGTAAAACTATGCTACCATTTTCATTTGGTTTCTATTTTTTGTATGTCATTGATGAAATCTGTTAGTGTGGTACTCCTTTTTTTAAGATTTTATTTATTTATTTATGAGACAGACAGAGAGAGAGAGGCAGAGACACAGGCAGAGGGAGAAGCAAGCTCTTTGTGGGGAGCCCGATGCGGGACTTGATCCCAGGACCCGGGATCACCACCCAAGACAAAGGCAGATGCTCAACCACTGAGCCACTTAAGCCCTGTTAGTGTAGTACTCCTCATTCCATTGTTCTCATCACTCTGTGGCTTTTACTGCACTGTTTGGCAGACCATAGAGATTTTAAGAATACACATCACATAAAATCATTCCCTATCTCTACCAAGAATGCTCTTTTGCCCATTTTCTGCATTTAAAATACCAGCTCTTTCAAGATCCTACTCAAATGTTCCTTCAGGCTTATTCTCTTAGTCAGAAATAACCTCATTTCTCAGCTATACTTTGTAATGCTCCTATGTCTTATCCTGCCTGTAGTATATTAAAGAGTGAACATTATATTGACTCCTTCCACTCTGAGGACAGGGACTCACCTTATTTGCATTTGTCATTGCCTCTTCCAAAAACTGTATTTTGCTCTGAAGGGCATCTATTTGACCTCTTTTAGCTGTGATTTGCTTTTGCATTCCCATTGCCACTTTCATAGCTGGGGGGGTGGGGGGAAAGGAAGTAAACTGCCTTAGTATTTAAGGTTTCTATATTTTGAAAAGCTATTATAAATTGATGGCTAAACACTGTGAGAAGGTGACAAGATTCTCTAAGGCACTTGGACAGTTTCAAGAGAGTGATCACAGAGAAAGATCTTCAGATTTCACAATATTGGGATATAACAATTTTCAGAGATTTTGAGCTGAGAATGATGTTTTGTGATTTCCTTGCTATTGGTATTAATTTCATTGACCATCGTAGTTTACCATCTCCAATGTTATAGAATATTGACTAACTTCATACTTATCCATATAGAAAACATATACATTAATAGTCATATAATGAATAATGTATGTATTTTTTAAGCATTTTTACTAAAATAATTTTCCAGAAATTCATATTTAAAATGCCACAAAGACAACTATTATTTATTTGTTCATACGGTATCCTATAAAAATGTCTTGTTATTATATAAGGTATCTATTATTAAGTGATCTTTTTACAGATTCCAGTGATGTCACAAAGCATTCACATTCAATTTTCATTCCTATGGTCATTGCATGTGTTTGGAACTCACTATTTCAACAGTCATATTGGCAGTATAAGCATATATGGAATTGCTTTAATAAAACTAGTGATGGGATGAGAATGTTCAAGGCAGGTAGAAGGCACTGAATACTTCAAATATGGCAGGTCACTGAAAAGATCTATGAAGCTCATCCTTGTTTGGAGATTCAAAACCAGAGACCCTGGGAACGCCTGGGTGGCTCAGCAGTTAAGCTTTGGCTCAGGGCGTGATCTGGGGTCCTGGGATAAAGTCCCACATCGGGCTCCCCGTGGGGAGTCTGCTTCTCCCTCTGCCTGTGTTTCTGCCTCTGTGTCTCTCATGAATAAAACAAAAATCTTAAAAAAAAAAAAAAATCAGAGACCCAATGTTGTTTCCCACAGTTAGCTGAGGAAAGAGGTTTGAAAATGTGATGGCTTTGAGTCAAGGTCCAAATGGAGCTTAGAGGTTAAAAAGAGAAACTGTACCCATCTCTAGAAACAAACTATCGGAGAGGATGAAAGGTCTGACTTCTTTTTAACAAGATATAGAAAGCTTGTTAGAAAGCTAAACTGTCAAAACAGGGTTGGTTTGACAGAACGCACTGCTTTACTAACAGAGCCACAGTCTGACATTTGCTCACCACTCACCTCATTCAATGAAGAATTCTGGTCTTATTAAATGGTTCAATAAATAAATAAATAAATAAACAAACAAATAAATAAATAAATAAGTGTTTCATGGCTGGCCTTGAAAGCTTATTTTCTTTTTTTTTTTTTTTTAAGATTTTATTTATCTATTTATGAGAGACACGCAGAGAGAGAGAGGCAGAGACACAGGCAGAGGGAGAAGCAGGCTCCATGCAGGGAGCCCGATGTGGGATTCGATCCCGGATCTCCAGGATCGCACCCTGGGCCAAAGGCAGGCGCTCAACCGCTGCGCCACCCAGGCTGCCCTGAAAGCTTATTTTCTTAAATCTCTTTTATTTTAAGATAATTTTGAGCAATAAAAATAAGCATTTGAATGTAAACACAGGTTTACCCAGTTAATTTAATCACTGTAATGTGACTGTAATGTGGCTGTGGTGGAAATGCCTCAGGACACTGAGGTGGGGAGGGGAGGGTACGATCCCAAATGGGCCTCCTAAGTGACTTCTCCAAACCCTACCATTTTCTTGGTGTTAACCAGCAAAGAAAAAGCTGAACTTCCAAGAACTGCACAAAATACAGAATGCTTCAAGAATCTACCTGCATGTGCCGCCTTTTGGCGGGGGCTATGATAATCTTCTCTGCATAGTTCCAATTTTAGTATATGTGTTGCTGTAACGAGCACAGAAATAAATCTTTTCACATTAAAAAATAATTGAGAAATTTAAAAACATAGATTTACTTAGATTAATATTTATTCTTATAGTCAGCTAACATATTTGTATATGTTTATGTATATATATATGTATATACCACCAATATGAATTATATAAAACAGCAGAATTAATATGGACATCAAGGGACAAAGGGAACAGGTCTAAGTGGTAACAAGAAACCACTCATTCTGGCAGTTCAATTCCCACAGCTCCATCACATTTTTATCACAGAGAGGGAATCAGGAACTGACAATGAACCACAGATTTTTATTTTATGTTGATAATCAACATGTGAAACATGTGAAAAATAAGGGGTTAAATGAAAATTACTGGTAACTTGTATTTTTTTATCAATACTTCCTTAAGAATAATTAATTGGCACTTATAGACATTGAGATCTGTTAGAAATTCCTGAAACAGCCACAGGAAAAGATTCAGATGGACAGCCCGGGTGGCTCAGCAGTTTAGTGCTGCCTTCAGTCCAGGTCGTAATCCTGGAGACCCAGGATCAAGTCCCATGTCAGGCTTCCTGCATGAAGCCTGCTTCTCCCTCTCTCTGCCTCTCTCTCTGTCTCTGTGTCTCTGTGTGTCTCAATAAATAAAATCTTAAAAAAAAAAAAAGGCAGAGATTCAGATACTTTAGGGATTACATTAAGCACATGGCATTTTCCCTTAAAAACCCTGAGTACAATGACTACTATCTAACACTCATCATTGGTGCCTATCACTGTGTATCTCTCACATCATGGGGCACTTGTAAGAGGTGGCAGGTGATGTATCTAGGTTTGTGTTTTAGTAAGTCTAGACCAATGGCATTAAAAACAGAAGAATAAAATCCAGTAAAGCATACCATGACCATCGGATCCTTCCATTGACTTTAAAGTATTTCTTGTTTGTTCAAGTTCAGACTGTGCAGATTTTAACTGCATTTTCAGTTTATTTGTAGTAGCTTCCATTTCTTCAGTTTTGTTTCGAAAATTCCTTTTTAAGACTTCATAGTCCTCTGTCACCATGTGATAATAATAGATGGTTACTTTGGTTACTTCATACACTGTATGAAGTGTATTTTATTTGTAATTAATGATCACAAAATTTTAGAGCTGGGAGAGACTTCATTTAGCTACATCTTCATTTGTTTCAGAAATGAGATGTACAGTCACATTTCCTGAGTGGAACCTCCTTCTTTACTTCCTTACTATTCACTGCTTTTTTTTTCCAGCCAGTATAATTGGCTTACATCAACTGCATCTTCAATTTTCTTGGATGGTCATATCCACAGTAGATCTCACTACCATCTATCTGTAGGTAGGTGAATCTCCATGACATGATAAGAAACCCGAGGTTACTGTGTGTTCTGTCTTTTTAGCTCTAGTTATTAATGAAATACTTGGCACGCACTCGTCATTCTATACAAGAACACACACCTATTCAACTTTCAATATATTTATATATGATAGATTCATATATAAAGGGAACAAACAGAGCCAAGCCCTCCTTGTACTGAGACATTTCCACATGCATATCCCAGCATCCCCCATACCACCTGTCTCATACTGGCTATATCTCACCTCTGGCCCTCAAGCCTGCTCTCCAAATGGTTTTCCTATCTCAGTTATAGGTGACCATCATTCTACCGATCCCACGGATTTAAAACCTGCAGGCTACACACAATCCCTCGAATCATGAAGCACTGTTGTTCAGTTGCAAAAATACTCCTATTAATTTTTTCACTCTCACTGCCACTGCCTTGGTTCCAGTTTCATAGCTCCCTGGGAGGAGGGCAAGAGCCCCTTTAACTGGCTGGACTGGGCCCTAGTCTTGCTTTTCTCCATTTACCTGCTGCTGTCCTTTCAAAATGCAAATTTGATGACAATAATCTCCTACTCAATGTCTTTTGCTAGCTCCACACTGTCTGGCTCTGCCTATCTACTCTACCTAATTTCTTAGCCCTCGGGCCTTTGTACCTTTACTCAAATACTTCTGAGGTCACATTGTTATTTCATTCCTTATGCTTTTGCCCATGATGTTCTCTCTGCCTGGGTTGCCCTTCTACCCTTCTACCTGCTAAATCCCTTTTCTTTCTTCAACTTTAGCAGAGGAGCTCTAAATCTTATAGGAGACTGATTCTCTACACTCTTCTCCATCTGCACCCAGCACATCATGCCTCGCCCACTGTCCTGTAACTGATTCTATAGAAGTCTGGCTCCCAAGTAGGTGGGATCCTCACTGTTGTGCTGCTAGGGTCTATCTCGGTATCTGGCCGAATAAATGCTCAGGAATCATTGATTCTGTGTGTGTGTGTGTGTGTGTGTGTGCGCGCGCGCACGCACACGCGCATGCAGTAAATGATACCTGAACCACACTAATCGCGGACTAGAAGTGTTTTCTTTTTTTTTAAGTGTTTTGTTTCTAAATATAAGATCTTAATTGATTTTTCAAGAAATCTATACAGTCTGTGTATACACGTTGCTTCACTATGAAACTTCTAATCAAACTATTTAACTCAAAGGACTCAAGGTTTCCACTTCTCTCACCCTTTTCTTGAAAACTTAGTAAAGAGGGGTGCCTAGGGGCTCAGCCAGTTAAACATCTGACTCTTGGGGATCCCTGGGTGGCGCAGCGGTTTAGCACCTGCCTTTGGCCCAGGGCGCGATCCTGAAGATCCGGGATCGAGTCCCACATCGGGCTTCCAGTGCATGGAGCCTGCTTCTCCCTCTGCCTGTGTCTCTGCCTCTCTCTCTCTCTCTGTGTGACTATCATAAATAAATAAAAAATTAAAAAAAAAAAAAAACATCTGACTCTTGGTTTCAGCTCAGGGTCATGAGATTGAGCCTGATAGTGGGCTCTTGCTCAGCGGGGAGTCCACTTGAGGTTTCCTTCTCCCTCTGCCCCTCCCCCCACTTGCCCCTCCCCCCACTCACACAAGCTCATGCTCTCTAAATAAATAAATCTTAAAAAAAAAAACAAGTAAGTAAAGAATTTCATGGACTCTGAGGGTGAAGCATCAGGATTTCAGGGCAGCATAATTATCCCTGTTTACAATGTGGGATGAGCACCCATACTTTTGCAAGAATCCTAGCATCCACGCTGGATTCACTGGCAGTGCTCCTAGTTGTCAGCAGAATTTGAACTAAAGTAACATACCTGTAAGACCGTTTAGCTCACTCCTACTGGTTTTCACCTCATTTAATAACTGATCTCTCTCCTGTTTGATGTCATTTACTGCACGGAGGCGTTCAGACCCTGCATTCACCAGCTTCACCTTTTCCAGCTCCAAGTCACTTACTCGGGCCTCAAGCTCCCGTATCTTTGCATCTTTTTTATCTTTTAAAATCTAAATATAGGGATAAATACAAGGACAGAGTAAGAAGTAAAAATAAAAAATGTACATGTACCTATAGGTGACATTCTATTAGTATCGTATCTATATTTACTATCTTTTCACTATTTCCTAGAATATTTAATTTCTATTTTATTATCAAGCCTCAACAGTAAATAGGAAAGCAAAAGGCCTTCTATTGATATTGAAAGGCCTTTATTTTAACCTTAGATGTCAATTTCCAAAAAAAAAAAAAAAAGATGTCAATTTCCAGTATTGTTTGCAATAATTCATTATCCCTACTCCTACTATTTTGCATTCCAAAGAGAAAGGTAGTGAGCACCTACTCTGTGCCGGGCACTATTTTACATATTGGAACAGAGCAGCAGGACAGAGATGGGGTGAGGCAAGTGAGGCCCCAGGTGGGCACCTCTCTGAGTTCTGTGTTCTAGCTGCCTCACTAACCTTACCCAGTCCCAGTTATGAATAGCAGGAAATAAAACAATGGCCTTGTCCCCAGGGAGCTTACATTTCAGTGAGAAGAGATAGACAATAACAAATATTTAATAGGTAATAATAAGTTACCAAAAAAAAAAAAGTGGGGAGTAGAGAATGAATGCAAAGGAGGGGCTGTGCATGTAAGAGATAACTGGGTATGTAGAAAAGAACCCAATTGCTATTCTTTTTTTTTTAAGATTTTATTTATTTATTCATGACCGTCACAGAGAGAGGCAGAGACAGGCAGAGGGAAAAGCAGGCTGTCTGCGGGGAGCCTGATATGGGACTCGATCCCAGGACTCTGGGATTACCACACCCTGAACCAAAGGCAGATGCTCAACCACTGAGCCACCCAGGTGTCCCCAAATTGCTATTCTTATTAAAGCTGGAAACAAGGTTGGCCGTTGGCTGGTATCTGGGAACTTGGGTTTGGGAGGGTTCCCACCACTCTGAGGAGAGGCTCACTATGCCTAAATCAGTTCTGCAAACAATGATTTATGCAGAGTACCTGCTTGTCTTCTGGAAGACTGAAATACTTGCCAGACAATGGGGTCTGTGTGACCAGTCCCTACTATAAAAACCTGGGGATTGAGTCTCAAATGAGCTTCCCTGATTGGCAACATTTGACATGTACTGTCACAACTCATTGCTGGGGCAGTTTAAGTACATCCTGCATGACTCTGCAGGAGAGGACTTTTGGAAGCCTATGCCAAGCTGCCTCCACATACCTTTTCCCTTTGATGATTCTACTTTACATTATTTCACTGTGATAAATTGTACCTGTAAGCACAACTATATGCTGAGTCCTAGCAAATGGGTGAACCGGGGTGGGGAGGTAGTCTTGGGGACCCTGACCCTCTGATGAGCAGAAACCTCAAAGAGGGAGGTGAAGGACCAAGCCATATGCCAGGCTCAGGGGCAGCTCTAGGGACAGGTAATGTGTTCAGGAAACAGTAAGGCCATCAGAATGGCTGGTGGAGAAGACCAGAATATGCTACCTCTCTGCCATAAGGATTACTTTGAGCTGATTATTTTGAGAAATGGCAGATACAGGAGAAGGTCTGAAAACAGATTAAGTTGCCCTTTAAGGGATATTTATATTTATGAAGGAAGTCTCCATTTATAAAGGTGTCTCCCTTTCTGAAGCAGGAAAGGATAACTTTAAATTGCAAAAGAATCTTATCAATGGGGAAGGCATGGCTTAAATCTGCAAAACAAACCTCATTCCTGTTTTCCATAGTTTTCCTGGTTGCCTTCCTATGACCTGCCTCTCCCACATCCTTCTTTTAGCTAAAGATGGTATTTAAAAAAAAAAAAAAAAAGATGGTATTTAAGTCTGAATTCTAAGCCACCTCTCTGAGTTACTCAATAAACTTCTGTTTACTCTTCTCTTGGTCTCTCTTGGTTACAGGGGCTCAACCAAGAATTGAGAAAGCCAGAGGGAGAAGATTTCTCCTGCCCTACACATGGGGAGGAGTAGTCAGAGATGAAGTCACAGAGGGAGCCATGGGCAAGACTGGCCTTAGAGGCAATGTAAGGATATGAGAGTTCATTCTGAGTGACATAAGAAGACACTGGACAGTTATAAACATGAGAATGGTACGTTAACACTTTCAAATATAATTCTGACTCCTGTGTGAAGCATAAGGAGTGGCAGGGGTGGAGGTAGGAGTGTTCTTGCAGTGGCTGCATTCTCACCATCAGTGCATGAGTGTTCTTTAAGTAGGCTCCATACTCAGCGTGGAGCCCAATGCAGGGCCTGAACTCATGACATTGAGATCAAGACTTGAGGCCAATCTAGAATTGGACACTTAACTGACTCAGCCACCCAGAAACCCTGAGTGTTCCTTTTTCTCCATATCCTTGCCAACACCTGTTGAAAAAAATCCCAGTCTTTTAAAGTGGATTAACAATGCACATGCCCAACTTTTGCCATCATGCACTGTTTGTGGGAATGCAAATTGGTGCAGCCATTGTGGAAAAGAGTACAGAATTCTGTTCCACCTGGGTGGCTCAGTGGTTGAGTGTCTGCTTTCAGCTCAGAGGTGATCCCAGGTCTGGGGATCGAGTCCCACATCATGTTCGCTGCAGGGAGCCTGCTTCTCCCCTCCCTCTGCCTGCGTCTCTGCCTCTCTCTGTGGGTCTCTCATGAATGAATAAGTAAAATCTAAAAAAAAAAAGTTAAAAATAGAACTACTCTGTGATCCAGCAATTGCACTACTAGGCATTTCCCCAAAGAATACAAAAATACTAATTCAAAGGAATACATGCACCCTGATGTTTATTTTTAGCAGCATTATCTACAATAGTCAAATTATGGAAATAGCCCAAGCATCCACTGACTGATAAATGGATAAAGAAGATGTGGTCTCTATATACAATGGAATATTACTCAACCATCAGAAAGGACGAATACCCACCATTTACATTGATATAGTTGGAACTGAAGGATATTATGCTGAGTAAAATAAGTCAATCGGAGAAAGACAATTATCATATGGTCTCGCTCATAAGTGGAATATAAGAAATAGTGGAAGGAATCATAAGGGAAGGGAGGAAATGGATCTGGAAAATAAAAGGTTACAGAAGGGAAGGTGGGTGGGGGGTTGGGGTAACTGGGTGACAGGCATTAAGGAGGGCACATGATGAAATAAACACTGGCTGTTATATGTTGGCCAACTGAACTTAAAATTTTTTTAAAAAGAAGATGTGGTATATATATAAACATGGAATATTACTTGGCCATCAAAAAGAATAAAATCTTGCCATTTGCAATGACATGAATAGAGCTAGAGAGTATTATGCCAAGTAAAATAAGTCAGTCAGAGAAAGACAAATACTATATGATTTCACTCATCTATGTAATTTAAGAAACAAAACAAATGAGCAAAGGGGAAAAGAGAGAGAGAGAGAGAGAGACAAGCCAAGAAACAGACTCTGAACTATAGAGGGCAATCTGATGGTCACCAGAAGGGAGGTGGGAGGGAGGATGGGTGAAATAGGTAATGGGGATCAAGGAGTGTACTTGCTGTAATAAGCACGGGATGATGTATGGAAGTGCGGAATTGCTATATTGTACATCTAAAACTAATATTACAAAGTATGCCAACTAACTCATTTTTAGTTTCATAGTTACGGAAGCCAAGATTTAGTGAACAGAGCAGTGTTTTATAGTCAGGTGGTGAGAGGTGGGGTTCAATGACAGGTCTGTCTGACAAGGGAGAAAATACTTCAAACTGTGGGATGAGACATGGCTTCATGAGGAAGCTGGATTTTTAGGATTTTTTTCTCTTTTGTATCAGTAGTCCTGAACCATTCTGGGTCCATCCACTTCTTTTGGAATCTAATAAAAGTATGGATCCCTTCTTACAACAACACACAAAGGCACTCAGGCACAAATACTTTTAAACAACCTCAGAGGGTCCACAGAGGGTGGACCTCTGAGAGCATCTCTTCAGTGACTTAAATCATACTTCCTTAGGAGGGAAATGATATTTCTTAAGTTAAACTACCAAAAAACCCTCTACAGACCTTGAATTCCTGTAGCTCCAGTCTCCTATCATTGATCTCCTTCTCAAGCTGAGCTTTTTCAACCTGCATGGCACCAGCAGTTCGTCCGTGCTGGCCAACCAACTGTGTCATGTTTTCAATCTGCTGTCGCAGAATCTCAATCACCTTGTCCTTCTCTGCCATCTGTAGCCTGAGGGCCTCACACTCAGTCTGCACATTTCTGAGGTGATCTCCCTCTGTTTTCAAGTGCTGCAGCTCTTGCAATTTCAAGTCCACTCGGGAGCGTAGCTTTGTGATCTCCGAATTGGTAGCCTCAATGGCTCTCTCTTTTTCCTGGAGGGAAGAGGTCAGGTCCGATATGGTCCTCTCTGAGCTCTCCAGGGTCATTTTCTTAGCAGTCAACTCTTCCACCACTTTGCGGAGCATCTCTTTGGTGGATTCAAGCTGAGCCGTCAAGGAGGACACTTTTTCTAGACTTTCATTCTTTCCCTGAATTGCTGCCATCTGATTGTCAAAGAAGAGAAAATTTCATGAATTTGGGCAGAGGGGTGGAAGCAACCTCAAGAGATATAACAAGTTAGCTCACAAACATGAATTCATGAATCTAATAATAATATCTACCTAAACTGAAATCATTTTTTTTTTGTGAAATCATTTTTATGTCACAACTCTGTATAGACCACAGACCAACTTAAGTTAGTTAGACCAAGGTGGAGAGACATGAATTAAATAATAATGCTCCTCTAGAATGGCTTTCTAGTGTGGGAGCTTTGGAGGTTTCCTCTGAGAGTATTTCTGTACCAATTTAAATTAGGATAACACTGGCAAAAGTGTGACATGACTGAAGAAGCTGCCCTTCCTAGTGAGGAAGGCACTATTGCCCCACTATTCCCTCACATTCTCAGGTCCTTGTCCAGAGAAGTGTTAAGAATCTAACTCCCAGTAACTCCCCTCATCTTTCTTCTTGCCCAGGGTGGGCCAAAGAGTAGGAAAATGGTTTGCCTGAATTCTAACCCAAGACTGGTCACTTTGGTTTGCTTTCACATTTTGGGAAGCTTACTCTTTTGTGGGATGCTTTCTATGTCTCTGTGGCAATAACTGACATTGGAATCATGTCCTCTTGGTACCGAAGGTTCGGGGCTCTTAATAAAGCATTCAACATTTTGCCACTGGGGCCCCAAAACAGAGTGCATCCATCTTGTCTACTAGTTTCAATCAGTTTAGGGGAAAACCAAAATAATAATAATAATTAAAAAAAAAAACGGCTGTTGGATACCTTCGACCCTGCTGTTCCTCAGTTCTCCTTATGGTTTGATGCTTTTTAAAATAAGCATCTATTAGGTTTCTGATTTCTAGGCAAAAATAAAAAGGCAATTGGATAGGAATTTCATTTCTCAACAATGAACAAAAATGAGATAAAGCTTAGTATTTTGATCAGTCAAAAATATAAAAATAAATAACAGGTTTTTATAACTTGCTCAAAGAATCCATAGCTCTATCTTATGGCCATTTTTAGGCCCATACATTTTTTTTTAAAAGCTCTACCAATAGGGATGTCTGGGTGGCTCAGTGGTTTGGCGCCTGCCTTTGGCCCAAGGCATGATTCTGGAGTCCCTAGATCAAGTCCCGTTTCGGGCTCCCTGCATGAAGCCTGCTTCTCCCTCTGCCTGTGTCTCTGCCTTTCCCTCTCTCTCTCTGTGTCTATCATGAATAGGTGAATAAAATCTTAAAAAAAAAAAAAAAGAAGAAGAAAAAAAGCTCTACCAATAACACATAAAATACATTTTTCCCTCAGAAGAGGCAATCTGAGGAAGCCATCCCATGTCCTGCCTGACCTGCCGTTCCATCTGGCCCTGACACTCGCTCTTCATGGCCTTGAGGAGTGCTTCCAGGCGCTGCACCTCCATGTTCCTGTCATCGAGCTCCCGCCGCAGGTGGTCAATGGTGATGCTGTTGCCCGTGTCCCGGTCCCACAGGCGCTTATTCTGCTCCTTCTCCAGACTCAGCTCCTTCTCTCTTTTATGTAGATCAGCCTACAGGAAATCAGGTATGTTCCCCAACTTGCATTAAAGAATTAAAGCATAATTCTCATTTTCCTTCTATAATTTTTGGACTTTTTATGCAATCTGAAAAGCCTTTGACTTTGGAATATTATTTTCAGTGACTTAGGAAAAATGATTTACTAGATAGGTAAGTTAACATTTTGCTTACTTATAATTTCTTACACTACAAGGAAATCTCAATAGATTAAATCCCAAACAATATAAAATGAAAAGAAAAATGCAATAGATTTTTAAAATCATCCTATTTTTAAGTTTTGGATTTTCTAGCAAAGGCATTATTATGCCTCACAACAAGTGTGCTCCTGTAATAAAGAAATGCTCAAAAGCTTAGCAAATACCGAAAGCCTAGCAATAAAAATGTGGTTAACTGCCTCAGAAATGACAGAATAGCATTTGGTACTGGGAGTGGAGTAACAGTTGACTATGAATAATTACCTTTCCCTTCAGTAGCTAGAAACAATACATAGTGTTTACTGTTAGCAAAAACTAGAGTAGGGAGACAAAGACACAGAGATCTTCAAAGGATTTATCACCCAAAGGAAAAGGTGAGAACAGATACAAAGAAATGGAAGTGGTTTTTCATTAAAGAGAGAGAGAGAGAGAGAGAGCTAAGCAACAGCAAAGAGAAAGCACAAAGAAGATCAAAATACTTCAACAAGGCGTTTGAGTTGAACCTGGACCTCACGAACAACTGGGACTATCATAAATTAAAAAAAAAAAAAAGTGACACAGAGTGATATTTGAGCAGAGCAGCACTCCATAGGCCAGACTGAGGAGGGGAAAAACTGGAGGTAGGAATCCTAGTGAGAAGACATGCTCCAGGTATTGTGAGGGGCTTGGGCCAACGGGTAGTGGCGGTAAGAATGAAAAGGAGGGGAGGGCCGTGAGGATCTTTCAGACAATCTGCAAGATTTTCAAATTAGATCTGAGGACCCAGAGGGAAAGTAGTGAAGGATTATCCCAAGGTTTGGAACTTGTCACACAGTCGCCAGCTCTATTTTTAGTGCTTGCTCCTCAAACCCTTTGTCAGGCTATGAAAGATAGCTCCACCGGCTGAGGGCGCTACACCCTACAAAGGTCCTGGGAGTGCGAGAGAAATTTATTCTCCTATACTCCTATACTGCTATACTCCTATATTCCTATACTGCTAACATCACACAGAGGAGTACCAATCGTTTCCTTTCCTAAATTTCTCATCCTCTAGTACCTCTAACAGAGCACAGGCTGTTTCACTATTATTGGAATCTTATTTCCTTTCTTTAAAAAATTTTTTTTAACCTAAACTCCCTTTCCAATTGTGTTTTGACTGTTATTTGGCTTCAAAATAAACAATACTACCTCAACTTAGTAGAATACATTTATCTAATTGAAAGGCCATTTGAAGACTAGCTTCACCTAACTTATAAGCTGTAACTGCTTAAGAGAAAAAAATAAGTAAAATTTAGAATATTATTCATATACAAAACTTGAATAATGTCAAGATAGTCCATTATGTATATATGCACAAATATTATGTAAAATTTGTAATTTTATAAGTAAAACCAATTTTGTGAAATATTTTGGTGAGAAACTTCCCATAATTAATTGAATTCATATTTAGAGCATAGTCTTACCAACAGCTTTTGAAGCTGATCATCCAGATTTCCAGATTCCTGACTGAACTGGTCACGTTCCGTCCGTGCCTCAGTGAGCTCCGAGTTGGCAAGGACTAACTGCTTTTCAAGCTCTTCTATCTAGAAGGAAAGCACAAATCAATCTATGAGAGTAGGGAATATAAAATAAATACAGTCTCCGGGAAACAAATGCTATTATTTTGGGGCAAAAATAAAAGCTTATTACATTTTGTAAAGTTTTCTGAACTTAAGATCTATGTAGAATTTAACTTAGGGAAATTAGCCAAAGTGAAATATTTGATATTGTTAGATACAGGCATTGTCTGCCTTTTTCATACTATTCAAGATTTATCTTGTGTGAATAGGTGTTCTGTCATTTGGTATTTTAAGGAAGTTTGATGTGGTATAAATAAAATTCTGCACAGCCCACACAAATGATCTGTACTATATGTAGAAGAGTTATTTTAAGACTATTAGAGTTTCAATAATAAAAGGCACTGAATATAAAAGAATGAATGGTAATAAGGTTTTCATTATTGTCATTATTAGTCAATTTTGAAAGATGAATTAACATACATATACGTATATAAATATATTAATTTAAAATTAATTTAAATTAAATGTATTAATTTAAAATACTTATATACATATTAATATGTTTCAATCCTCATTTCCTTCAACTATAAACTGGATGAATACCAATTTTTTTTTAAATTTTTATTTATTTATGATAGTCACATAGAATGAGAGAGAGAGAGGCAGAGACACAGGCAGAGGGAGAAGCAGGCTCCATGCACCGGGAGCCCGACGTGGGATTCGATCCCGGGTCTCCAGGATCGCGCCCTGGGCCAAAGGCAGGCGCCAAACCGCTGCGCCACCCAGGGATCCCCCTGAATACCAATTTTAAAGGTCTGGCATAGGTGCATTTTTCCCTCATAGATAGGGCAGCTATTTGATCTGTGTAACTATGCATGTCTAAATGTCAATATACCAGAAGGCCCATCATTGTTAATAGCATTCCCACAGCTCTTGACCTGTAGATGCAAAGTAGGCGAAGAGGTTAAGATCTCAGACAATGGAGGCTCCAGGTTTGGATTTTTGCTGAGCCACAAAAATTCATAATTTACATACTGAGATATTAAAATAATGAGAACATATTGATACTTAGTGTGATCACTAAAATACTATTTCATCAGCCAGTAATAAGAAATCCTTCATGACTACATAAATGGTACATATTCCTTCTTACTTCAACAGGCTTCCAGATTTACTATGTCAAGAATAAAACTTATTGGTTTGGATGACAAACTGTGATTAAAATTTCTTAGAAAATAGGGGCACCTGGGTGACTCAGTCGGTTGAATATCTGCCTTCAGCTCAGGTCATGATCCCAGGGTCCCTGGATTAGGCCCCATATTGGGCTCCCTGCTCAGTGGGGAGTCTGTTTCTCCCTCTCCCTCTGTTCCCTGCCCAGTTCCTGCTCTCTCTCTCAAATGAATAAATATTTTTTAAAAATAAAATTTCTTAGAGAATATATGAGCAAGACTAATTTTTTTTTTCTTGATGACTCTATCTTTTTTCTGGACCAGGTTCATTTAAGGTCTTCATTTATTAATTTAGCACATATTTATTAGTTTTTTATATATATACATATATATGCAACTACCACTTTGATAAATGCTAAGTATGAATACACAGAATTCATATACCTTTAATCACACATACATATATATGATTTTTAAAAAGTACTTATATAGGATCATCAAACAGTTTCACATTTACCTACAGAGTAGAATCACAGCCTGTAGAGACTGGAGTATCTATTTTAATATTTACAGTGAATATATTTAAAAAATGACTATGTTTGAATGTATGTTAGATATAAACAAGTATTTCACAAGAATTAAGTGTACATAAAACATTAGGCTATCACCAGAAAAGTTCAAAATTCTAATAATGCTATAAAGAAGTTCTCACACAAAACTCAACCTCTGTGGCAGGAGTAGCTTTCTAAGGAAAATGGCTGAATGGTATCAGTTGATATAATCTCTTCAGCTCTACTATTATCAGGAAAGACCAAATCAGCACAAAGTTAGTAATGACATTAGGAATACTCAGGAAAAAGCCCACAAACTTTTACTGTGGGTGGACAAATGTAATCAGAGAGGGAACATGATCAAGCTAGGACTTTAGGTTATGGTCCAGGTTCTGTCACATGACCTCTCTGAGTCTCAGTATTTTTCTCCTATAATTTGAAAAGAGTATTCTAGATAATCTTTCCAAGTTCTTTCAATTCTGCTTTTTTATATGAGAAGAACAGTATTAATAAAGCTGAAATCCTGTAATTCCCGCCTGTCCTGAAAACTGTATTTTGAGCTATAAATTTAACAAGAGCACTTTCAATATGAAGAGTTACTCGTATGTCTATAACGTTTTCTAGTCCAAATTTGGCATAAAACTATTGTCTCTTTGAGCAAAGTATTTGTCTATGTGCTATATGTCTATCCCAAAAACTTAAATTAGGGATCCCTGGGTGGCGCAGCGGTTTAGCGCCTGCCTTTGGCCCAGGGTGCGATCCTGGAGACCCGGGATCGAATCCCACGTCGGGCTCCCAGTGCATGGAGCCTGCTTCTCCCTCTGCCTATGTCTCTGCCTCTCTCTCTAGCTCTCTCTCTGTGTGACTATCATAAATAAATAAAAATTTAAAAAAAATAAAATAAAAATAAAAACTTAAATTAAAACCTGCTATCTTGTCTGTTTTCATTTTTTAAAAAAAATTCTGGATGACCCTTTGATAACATCAAACTGGATGGTAAAATCCATGAGACCAAATTTTTCAAAAGAAAAGTGAGAAAAGAATGAAGAAAAAGAAAAGAGCCAAGTGTTATCTTTTTGTCTAAGTTTATCAACTGTCAGAAGTTCCTCCAGACCCCTGAAGGAACATTGGTTTTGTAGTTGTCAGTACTGACTCAACTGCTATAGCTCTGCTTTTACCTTTCACTTTTTAGAGTAGAAATACTTCTATTACTCAATCAATCAAGAAGAGAAATGGAGAGTGAAAGGGAAAACCACTGAAGTAGCAGCTGAGCTGAACAAACAGCTGTACAAAACACTACAAAGCCTTCTGAAATGTCCAGAATAAATAGTGATATCCAAGATAGATATTAAAGGTTTTTTTCTTTTTCTTTTCTTTTCCAATAGCAGCACCGGTTTTCCCTTTCACCATCTATGAATCTACTTTCAGTTTTGGATCACTGGACAAATAAGTACTTGGATCTCATTCAAATTTTTACAGGGATTTTTAAAGATGTTACCAATCAAGCCGAATTGTTGTTTTCTGTGCTCAAAAAGACAACACAGACATTGGATACTGAGGGGAGCTTTAGGGTCAGCACGGGGGTGCATTGGCAGAACTGTGCAAAGAGGTTTGCACAGACTCTTCCTGCACAGAATATAGCTCCAGCCAGTGCTACTAAATCTTTACTTTTTGAGTACAAAATTCAGCCCCAAAAGCTTTCAAAATAGGAAAAATAAACTTAGAATCAAGATCATGAGATATTTTTGTTGTCAAAAAGCGAAAGTTAAGAGTAAAGCCAAATCTACAGAGCCAATAGTGACAGCTTCTACTGGTCCAAATTCGTAAAGGGGAATTCTGGAGGTTCTCCTAAAATGGAAAGAGAAGAATAGAAAAAAGCATTACAGTAGGGCACTTTTGTAAGCTACAAAAGCTACATTTACAATTTTCTTTGAAATGTAGTTTCTATTTTCTTCAGTATGAAAATATTTTGTTAACCTGAAGATACATACTGCCCTCCTAAACAACAATTTATGCCTTCTAGTTAGAAAAGTTTTGTTCAGACCTATCATGTCATCAATTTTTTTAAACAATAAAGACTTTTTTACGGAAGGAATCTGACCTCAGGAGAAAATACTAACACTGCTCACTAAAGCAGTAGAAGATAAAATAGATTTTAAAATTTTCAGAAGCTTTAGCAATGTAAACTGAAGTTATATGAAAATAAAAAAAATTAAACAGAAGAATTTTATATTCAATTCATTACAAGAAAAACATTTCCTAACAATATGATTTTTCATGACCCCAAAATGAAATCCTTTTGTTAACTAGCTTGATGTTTTCTTGCTCAGTTACAACCATGCATTGATGACATTTCAGGCCAAAGTACAAGATAATCATCTCTCAGTGTTCCCTGACTAAAGGGAATCACTATTAAGAAAGCCTACTTAACCACCATCTAGTTGCCAACTCCACAGGTTCAATATGTTGTTATAAATCTCACTGATCTAGATTAAAATGAGCTAATCTAATATGCCCCCCCCCTTATTTCTATTAAATGTTGACTATTTAAGACTGACAAAATTATTGGTGATCCACTGTTTACATTAGGGCAAAATAAGAATGATTATAACATCGTATTTGTATGTATCATTATATATCTATATGGCCTCAAAACATTCATATGAAAAAGTCTACAGTCATTCATCTGTATGCTTATGTTTCTACAATGCCAAAGATAAATATTTATAAAAACTCAAGCTATTTTTGTATTCTTTTGATGTACTGTATTCAGTATTTGTTAAAATTTCCCACCATGCTCAAATTTAGAGTTCGGCAGCACAGTGCTGTATATGAACTGTATGTGAACTAGCAAACAACAGGTGACAGCTGATGGAAGGGTCACTTTGCCAAGCAATGTTACAATGGAAAGCTATAGCACTTTCGAATTATATAAGAAGACACAAGCAAGTTGAGTTTTGCTTAGTACTTCATAGCTTTTCAAAGGACTTCTAAATAAATAATGAATACTTAATCTTCTCAAAATGAGTTGAATAGTAATGAATATCAGTTACTATATTGGACTAGAACACAACAGCTCTCTCATTTCCTCTCTTACTGTCAGATGGTCTGTGCGCATATCCGCGAATGTGCCTATCTCCACTAGACTACCAGGGCCCCTGTAGCTTCCGCCCTATAATGTGCTGAAAGCACCCCCATGCTGCAGGGTGAGATCAAGACTTTTTATGTAGGCTTGGTCTGCCCAGAAAGGGGTGGATATTCCTGGTATCAATCTTCAGGGGAAAAGCTCACCCTGAGAAAAGAAACTAGAACCAAAACGCAGGCCTCAGAGAAGCAGAAAAGAACGTATGTTTCTCTCTGGGCTTCTGCTTCTTGGTTTAGCTTTTAAACAGACAAAGGTAAAAAAAATAAAAATAAAAATAAATAAATAAATAAATAAACAAAGGTAAAATATATATATATATACATATAAATATATATATATAATTAAATTAAATTAAATAATAAAATAAAATAAAATAAAATAAAATAAAATAAAATAAAATAAAATAAAATAAAATAAAATAAAATAATAAAAAACAGTCAAAGGTTCCTGAAGGCTACTCTTAAATGGTGGTGGTTGAAATGACCTTGAAAAAAGGATTTAAGCTAAGAACTAACTAAGCCCAGTGGTCTAGTAGGGCAGTGTTATTCAAACTGCAACCTCCCAGTGAATCATGGTATCAATTTAGTATCAAATCAGCATCCCACATGTATCAGGGGTAAATAACATCCTGTGAAACTTGCTTCAGTCCTATGTGTATAGTAGATCAAAAAGTAAGCTGTTTCTTACTATGAGGAGTGATCAAAAATGTTTGAAAGCCACTGCTATAGAGGATCCAAATCTCATAACTGAGATTATTTAGTTTTATGTTAGTCTTTATTGTTTAGATTTTAGCAAAGCCACGTCTAAAGTTTCCATTCTTATTTTAGCTGTGCCACAGGGAATTAAGGTCGAGGTTTTATACCCTGTGCTTAAACTAGAACCAAGGAGGAAGAGCCCCTTCCTGTGGCCAGCAAGGGGGGGGGGCAGTATAATTAAATGACTGTAATTAAACGGCTGTCTGGAAGACCTAGAGCTGCAGTATTCAACTGCTTCTTCCCATGTGAAGCTTTGTCCTTGTACTGTTACCCTGTAGAACTGGGCTACTTTTTAGAGGAATCTGGCGGCTTCCTTTATATTCTATTTCTTCCCAATCAGCTAATGTGTGAGAAGTTGGCTAAAAATGATGGTTACAACTGGAGGTTCTCTGATAGGTAGGATGACTTATTAGAGTTTTAGGATGATTTATTAGAGTTTGTCTTCCAAACTGAGTCAATTTGGAGATTTGGTATTTACAAAATAGGACCCTGGAGTACAGGTGTAAACTGGGCTGTCACAGGCAAACAGGCATGTATAGTTGGCTACCCTTCCTACAGGGAATGAAGAACACGAGCTCCTCTGAATGGTAACTCTCTGCTTGATTTTTAGGGTTTCTATTGCTTTACATATGCTTAACAAAAACATAAGCTCTGGATAATCGGTTGATAATGACAGTGAATAGCTCCTTTTTAGCTGTAGGAAAGTGAGAGAACAAAAAAACAGAATATCAAATATGAATATCTGGGTTTAAGAATTGTGTGATAAAAGATGAAACTTATCCTAATTATTTTTTATTTAGACTGATCTTATTAATTCAGTTTGCTAGTCACACAGTGATTAATAAATGGGAGTTGAAGTAAAACCTAGGAGGTACTCTGAAGTAATGAGTGGTAGGGGGAGACCACCTGGTAGCAAAATATTTGTTAGAGCTAATAAGCCTTGTAAAAATAATTTTAGTAGTCTTATTTTAACTTATTTTTTTAAGAAACTTAACTTGAAATATGCAAAACTTTTCTTCTACAGATGAATTAATTTGAGCAAACAATTTAAATTAAAATTGTTTATAACTTAACATATTGATATTTGGTGTCCTCCTACTCCATCTTAAAAGCTGCTTTTAATTTGACATTACTTTGATTCCTCATTTTCAAATAAACTATTAAAACATGTATAATTAAATCTGTGTATAATAGTCTGTGGAAGCACAGCAGCAAAATCTAACCTCACCTTGTCTTCATACATCCTTTTGGCTTCCCTTAACTCCGAACGTAGCTGGGAAACAGTAGATTCCAGATCACTGAGTTGACGCATATACATTGAATTTTGGTTTCTTGCTTGTTCTCTAAGAAGGGTTTTAAAGGGGAATAAAAGCAAATAGCAAACTAAGAATAAGTGTGATACCTAAGCATACTCTAGCATTTAGATACTTTCTCTAGTTCTTTTATATGGCATTAATAGGTCAAAAGTCTTTTATTTTCCAAAATCGCTTCTTTAAAGCTTCCACTCAATCACATTGTTAAGTGTTAAAACTAGATAGTGTATATAGTAGTTCATCTGTACTATTTTTTTTCTATTTTCATATATGATTGAAAATGTCCCTATAAAAAGTTTCAATTACATAAGCTCAAATTATAAAATTATTTATATGTATCCATGTGTATTCTATTTATATATATTAATACACACACATATACAGTGCGTGTGTGTCTTTGATTGGTTCTATCAGTTGTAATATGAACAATATTTAAAACATTCAATTCCAAGAGGCCTAAATACCTGCAATAATACTTCCATGTAATCATATAATATTATCTCTAAGTAATCTTTTCCATTCATTTAAATTAGAAATGTTTTACTTCCTTGTGGAATTTTTAGGCAAATTTTAAAAGATTTTAGGACAGAATATTAATGAAAATGGTATCTCTAAAATGAAGATAAATAACTACCAATTTCAAACTACCAGGACAAACATACTGAATGATTTCCAGTTGACTCTGGATGCTATTGGCTTGGCTTCGAGCACTGCTAGCTTTCTCAGTAAGTCCTGTTATTTCAATTTCATGTTCACTTATTAACTGCTCAATCCTATAAAGAAAATGCAGTGCTTGTTATTTGATACATAAGACTGCTTGGCTGATTATTCCAAAAATTAATGATTTTCAACACTCTTAAATTTAGTATTTTGCTTTGACTTTGAAGATGCTGCTCATTTTAGGTTTTAGAATTCAGATCTTTATTAAAAAAAAATTCAGATCTTTAAAAAAATTTACAACGGTAGTAAGTTACAAGTACTATATATTATGTGACACACATGGGGGGAAGTGTCCTGTAACATACTGCAAACACAACAACAGGATTTTAAATATTCACACTAAATCATAAAGACTTTACATCATAAAGCTTTACATTAAGCTTAAGTCAGGTTTTGCCAACAAATGACTGACAAAGACTCTCTCCTTGACCAAACTTTAGTCAGGCTCCTTTGAGTCTTCTTCTAAGACCTTGACCTTGGCACCCATCACCCTCCCATCTCACCCCCACTCCATTCATCTGCTCCTTGGCTGAAAATCCTTACCTTCCTGATTGTATTAGGAGAGCTGAGCTTCATCTTTCTTCCCTAACACAGAACCCCTATTGCAAAAGCCTTGAATAAAGTTTTCCTGAACCTTTTAAACAAATGTCAGAAAAATTTTCCCTTTCACATGAATTTGCCATAAACCTATGAAGAAAACTTGTTTCAGAATATTTTAGATTTTGGAATTGCTGATAAGGGATTTTAGTAAACCTATGGTTTAGTTCACTATGACTTTCTATACTTTAGTCAGAAACCCACCTATCTTGATGTTGTTGAAGAAGCAATTCTATTTTGTTCTGTGATTCAGACTTCAGTGCTTCAAGCTGATCCTCTACCTAGATATATAAAAAAGAGATGCTGATTTATGGATTGGTAAATCTACATCTTGGAAAAGTTGGAGATTTTCCAACTAAAGGAACACTTTAGAAAGAAGCAAATAAAAGTAATACTGAAACTTAATACATTTTATCACCATATTTTATTAGATCACTTACTTTATACTCTCAGGAAGCCATACAGACAAATCAAGCTAGTTCCCTTAATTTACTGAGACGTCATTGTGGAAATAACTTATTTTATAAAACAAAAGTGAGAACTTGGTTTGCTTTTAAGAACTTAAAAATATATATACATCTAATACTATTCTCTTAATGGATTTTAATATAAAATTGAATAGTGTTCTCACCACTTACTGGAAATATCCTCCCTTTTAGATAAGAAATTTCTGTGTCTAATTCTCGTAGGATTTTACTAATAGCCGAGCCCAGGTTGCGGAAGTGGAGAGCAGACATGCTGTCCTGTTCATATATTTTCTTGCCTGAGGCTTCTTCAAAGTCAACTAGGATTGCTCGGATTTCTTGAAGCACTCCCTCATGACTAAGCATTATCTTTCTCAGCTGTTCTATTTGCATGTTGCTATCTTTCAGCTTGTCCTCCTTAAGGCATTTGGCAGTTTCAAGTTCATGAACTGTATTTTGAAGCTGATTTCTCAAATCCTCCTGGGACTGACTCTCCCTTCGTCTATGAAATTAGTGAAAGAAGAAATAATATTGATAAAGTTCATATTCACACAAGTAATATTATGCTACAAAAAGTAAAATTTTAAAATAATTTTAGGTAACAACTCCCAACCTGATGTCAGCCAAGGCATCTCTCTCCATTTGCATCTCTTGAAGTTTTGTTTGCAAATCAATGACTGATTGCCTTAAGTAAAACTTCTGTTTCTCATGCAATTCATTGCTCTAGAAAAAAATGCCAGGCAAATCAGTCTTTACCAGAGGAACTTCTTTTCTTAATGCTAATACTTTCCAAAAATCCATAGATTATTAATTTATTTTTAGGTGTACTTCCTTCTCCTTTCACCAATACTTCAGGGCCTAATTAATCATTTCTCACCTAGATTACTGAACTATCTTAACTAGTCTCACTGTCTCAAGCTTGACCCCTTTCAATTTATTCTTTACTTAATAACCAAAACACTATTTCTAAAACAAATCAGACTTCTAGCTCAAGATAGATATAGAAATAATTTTTATTTTTGAAAACAGGAAAATTGGTTAAAATTCTATATACAGAAAAGTCCATCCTCACCTCCAACCCACTTGAAAACTCTACAGCAGACAACCACAACCCAAAAGTGTTCTACTACAGAGAAATTCAGGAAGATCTCTAAAATTTGGCACTGAGAGAGACCTCTCAGCCTAACAACTGATACCACCTAATTATCCCAAAGCCAAGCCATTAAATTCTGCCTATTGAGAGAGCTTGCCATCAGCTTTTTTACTGCTCATCCTTGAGGATTGAACAAAAATCAACCAACCAACTAACCAATCAACCAATAAATACTCATGGACACCTGAAGGAAGATTATAAAATACAAGAGTCCAAGATGAAACAAAGAAGCAAACACCAGAAAAAAAAAGGATCCTAAGAAACAAAGTAATAGGGATCCCTGGGTGGCGCAGCGGTTTGGCGCCTGCCTTTGGCTCAGGGCGCGATCCTGGAGACCCGGGATCGAATCCCACATTGGGCTCCCGGTGCATGGAGCCTGCTTCTCCCTCTGCCTGTGACTCTGCCTCTCCGTCTCTCTCTGTGTGACTATCATGAATAAATAAATAAAATCTTCAAAGTAATACAGCAATAGAAGAACGCTTCCTAAAATTTATATTTGCAGAGAGAAAATGACTTTCAATGTTACCCAGCTAACATTGTTCTCAGAATGCAAAGGTCCATAAAATATATGCCTATGTACCTTTCTTAAGTTTCTAAAGATGTACTTTGACAAAATGAAGTAGATCCAGAAAAAGGAAGACAGAAAACAATGAATCCTAGAAATCATAGATCCAATCAGGAAAGCTGTGATGAGAAGAAAACAGTTATACACAGACCTAAGAAATTCATCTAAGCTAGAAAATAGGACAGATGACTCTTGAAGAGTCCTGGATCAGAGGATTTGAGAGAAAACCTACATGATGATTCTTTTAAAAAAGTTTTTAAAAAAGCATATGATAAAGGCATACACTTTCTGGTGAAAAAAACACTACACTGGAGAGCAAGTGTAAAAGGATACTAGTTGATTCTGCAATTGACAATGTCTATAAAGTCAATATAAAGTTAAGGCCCTTTATCTTTTCCTCTTATAGTCCAGGTGAATAACTACAGTACAGTCTGAACTATGGATACCAACAGTGGAAATGGAAATCTGAGAAATATATATGAGATATACTGCATGGATATGATGATAAAATGACACCAGGGAAGAGGTATCAAAAATAAATGAGGTTTGGGGGTGCCTGAGTGGCTCAGTGGTTAAGCATCTGACTCTTGATTTCAACTCCGGTCATGATCTCAGGGTTGTGAGATCAAGCCCCACAGGCTCTATGCCTGCTTAAGAGTCTCTCCCTCTGTGCCCCCCTTAAAAAATATAAATGAAGTTTTTGCTTGTGTAATTATGTAAAGGTGACACCACATACAGTTAGAAGGAACACTGGGAGAAGGGTAGGCTTGGGGGAATGATCATGTATCCAGGCAGAAATGTTGAGTTTATAGACCCTCAGACATTTCAAGTATAAATGTCAAGTAGGTACATGCAGTGCTAAAGTAAGAGGTCTGTACTAGAAATGTAAGTTGAGTGTTCATTGATATATAAATGGCAACAGAAGCCGTGGGAATCACTATGACTATTTTCAGATGGTTCTACTGGAACAAAAAAACAAAAACGAATAAGCTCAAGGAAAGTCAAGAGAGTTTATTTTCATGGGACCTAGAAGAAAAGAATACTTAAGAGGAAGAAGATAATCACCTATGTGAAATGTTGCTTAAAATTCTAAGGAAGGTAAAACAGCAATGGGATTTAGCATCATGGCTTATTCCTACTGCAGCACAGATCTCATTGTTACTATCATTTTCTATATAAATATCTCAGCCACAGACTATAAATGTGTATACAGAAATGACCATGTAGGGCAGCCCCAGTGGCTCAGTGGTTTGGCGCCACCTTCAGCCCAGGGTATGATCCTGGAGACTCAGGATCAAGTCCCACGTCAGGCTCCCTGCGGGGAGCCTGCTTCTCCCTCTGCCTGTGTCTCTGCCTCTCTCTCTGCCTCTCATGAATAAATAAATAAAATCTTAAAAAAAAAAAAAAAGAAATGACCATATATTTTCCATCTTTTTAGACCCAGTGCCTAGCACATGTTACATAGGAGTTTTATGCTAAATATTGTAAGTATCCTAATATCCCTGTATTCATTTAGAGATTTAACACATATTTACTGGGAGCCAATCAAGTGTCAGATCCTCTGCCAGAGAATGGACATGGAAAATGAATTAAGTAATGTGGAGGCCGAGAAAATTAAGGCCATTCCACTTTAAGCTCAGCGTTAGCACATGTCCAGCCATCCCAGACCCCTGTGAAGAAGAGCTGAAATTTACCTTACTTCAGTTACAGGAAGAAAACAGCTTACAGCTTAACATCCTAGAAAGCCCCATATTAGAATGAGAACAGAGCCCAAGCCAGGGGCAGGAAGCCCCATATTTGAATGAGAACAGAGCTCAATGCCCTTGAAAGCCCCATATCAGAATGTAAACAGAACTTGAGAAATTTCTCTACCCCTTCTGGAGGTCCCCGAGACCAGCCCTTAAAACTGAGCTAAAACCCACCTCGGGGTCCAAGTCCCTGCTCCACTGTGTTGAGTATACTTGGACCCAAGCTTGAGCTTGTAAATAAACCCTCATCGGTGTCGGCTCCTTGGTGGTTTCTCGGATTCGCAATCTTGGGCACAACAGTAAGGCACTGTCTCTTTCCCTCATTGGTATCTCTGTGCTTCATCCATCTATCCGTCCATCCCACCCACCCTCTTTATTTGCAATCATCACAAAGTACTGTCACTATTGGTTTATATACCAGCTCTTCTTCAAGTCTATGAACTTCTTATGAGTCCTACCTTATTCATCTCCGTATCCTTGTACATGATATAATAGTATATGATTCTCGGCACTTAATATTAAGTTGTGGTTTTTTTCCCTAAATGTATTTACACAGTCTGATAAGGTAGAACAATGTATGAATAAATACAGTAATGTGCTAAATACTACAGTAGACATGTGCACATAGGGCAACAGCTGTACAGAGGAGAATATACTTAATGCTGTTTAGAGGAAAGGATTCAGAAAGGCAAATGCTTAGCTGAGTCTTGATAGATATCAAGAATTTGCCAGGCGGCCATATAAAGAAGAGGAAATTAGCCTGAGCTATTTACACATATCTAAAAACCTACTCTTACAACTGCTTTGTAAAGAAAAATGAGCTATCATGATAGCAGGTCAGTAGGCCTGAACCAATTATTATGATAACATTTTGAGCTATTCAAATTTCATTAAAATTAACCATGAAACCAAGGCATTCTGACTATTAACAAAAGAAAAAAGGGTATGTAAACTTCATGTGCCCAATTTTTATTTTATTTTATTATTATTGTTATTATTATTATTTATTTATGATAGTCACACAGGAGAGAGAGAGAGGCAGAGACACAGGCAGAGGGAGAAGCAGGCTCCGTGCACCAGGAGCCTGATGTGGGACCCGATCCCCGGCCTCCAGGATCGCGCCCTGGGCCAAAGGCAGGCACTAAACCGCTGCGCCACCCAGGGATCCCCCTTGTTTTGTTTTAAAGCTTTTATTTATTTATTCATGAGAGACAGAGAATGAGACAGAGAGAGAGAGAGAGGCAGAGACACAGGCAGAGGGAGAAGCAGGCTCCATGCAAAGAGCCCAATGTGGGACTCAATCCCAGATCCCGGGATCACGCCCTGAGCCAAAGGCAGACTCTGAATCACTGAGCCACCCAGGCATCCCATGTTAAGTGCTTATTAAGTTTAGGTTCTGTTCCAAGGCAACATGCCTCGCTGCCATCCCCAAATGGCATAGAGTACTGGAAGAAAAGAATGCAACTTACTTCGTTTAGTCTTCTCTGCAGATCTTTGACTTGATGTGAATATTCTTCCAAAACACGTTCAATGTGTTCCTTTCCAGGGTAAGGGAGGACTTTCCTAGGAGAATCAAGTTCCACTTCATATTTGGGGAAAAAAGGAATTTGTGCCAATGTCCCAGCTGAAGATGTGTTTTCAATTATTGTACCACGAACAGATGACATAAAAAATGGACTTGAAGAACCTAAATATTAAAGAATTAACCAACTTTTAATAAAATAATTTTGTGGTAAACATTATCCTAGGTGTTTTCCTTATTGAACTCTGAAGATGCTAAAGGTCTCATGAAAAGAGACAAGTAAAAGATGGCTAGGAGCTCAGGAGAGACAAGCACTAGGTAAAAAAGAGATTTGGTAAAGCTGATGAAGGAGCAGTAGACAGCCACCCTTCATCAGCTTTGCCAACTCCCGGAGCTCTGAGGACACTAAACAAATGATGAGTAGCTTCATGCTGTCCATCTCTGCTGTGGTCATGTCATATCTGCAGAACCCTCAGCCCATGACACCCCCCCTGGTGATGTCAGCCTAGGACTTCTCTCTACACCTTCCCCCAGGCCTGGCCCCTGGCTGCTCAGCCTCTGCCCTCAGCTGCTGTCCTGGGCTCCCCTGAATGAAGTAGTCTCCGGGCTTGCAGCTGGATGGAGGGAACCTGACCCTTTCCCTGAGATTCTACTTCTGCTGGACAGAGGGGAATATCTTAAGCCTACCCCTCCTGCCTGCCTTCCTCATCCTGCCTGCTGCTGAGGGAGATGCTGTCCATGTTTCTACATGTATCCACTCGTTTTTTTTGTTGTTGTTGAAACCAGTAATAAAATTTTGCATTCTGGCTGTTAAAAAAAAAAGAGAGAGAGAGAGAGATTTGGGAAGAGGGAGTCTCACTTGATAGTGATCAAGTGATACCTGAACTGAATGAGGCTTGAAGCATATTAAGAGGAAGGGCATTGTAGGCAGTGGGAGCACTATCATTATTGGTGAGAAGGCTGGAGACAGCATAGTATATTTTGGGTGATGGAAAGGAAGTAGCCAGATATGAAAATGAAGACATAGGCCAAATTATGAAGGGCCCTGTGGTCATGCCAAGGAATCTGAACTTCATCTTGAAAGCTTTGGGAAATCATTAATGGATTTGAGATTATAAGAGTAGTTAACTAGGTCTGTGGTTTGAAAAGGCTCTCTGGCTTCAGTGTGGAGAATGCACGAGATGAAGATAAAACTGAAGGTAGAAAAACAAGTTGGGGGTGCCTGGATGGCTCAGTGGGGTCCTGAGATGGAGTCCCACATCAGCCTCCCCGCAGGGAGCCTGCTTATGTCTCTGTCTCTTTCTGTCTCTCATGAATAAATAAATAAAATCTTTAAAAAAAAAAAAAAGAGAGAGAGAGAATCAAATTGGAGAAGGCTTTCAACAATGTAAGCAAGAGATGGTAAGGGTCTACCCTAAAGGAGAGGCAGTGGTGACAGACTCAAGAGTGTGGATTTGAGAAATACATGTAGTAAGTAAAAGACAGGGAGTTGTTAAAGGTCTCTCTTGGGTTTTGAGCTTCAACATCCAAGTAATGCTGTTTGACTTGTGAGTTCAGGAGTAGGTGCTGCTTCAGAGATAAGGATTTGGGAATCATCAGCATTTGAATTCTAGCAAATCCTTGATGTCAATGAGATCATCCAGGGGCAGTGTACAGAGTGAAAAGAGAAGAGGAATAAGAAGAGAACTCTGACAAAATACCAATAAAGGGAAGACAAGGAAGGAAAACCCAGGAAGATTCACAGAAAACCCACAAAGATATTAGAGAATTATATTCAAAAAACACCACTGATTTGGACTGAGCCGCAGAGACAGTGTGAGATGAAAAGAGGCCTTCCTATAGGCAGGCTGGAAGCCCCTAGGCTGAAAACATAAGCTACCTTATATGTAAAAGGAAGGTCGTCTTAGAGTTAGACCCAAGAGTCCAGAGAATGGCACTAAGAACCATGGAGAATTATTTCTAGGCCAGAGTCCTAATCAGGGCATGGTCAACTTGTGCTCAGCTAGATTTCAGAATTGTGATGAACTGTGAGCCTCCTGTTTTCCTCATTTGGAATGGTAGTTTTGATGGCGGTTATCCTAGGCCTGCCTGACATTGTATGTTGGCTGTCACAGGTCTTCAGATGAAGAGGAACTCAACTCAGGGAGCTGTATTTAAGGACTTAGAACTGAGGAGCTTCATCCATATCTGAATCTAATTCCAATAAAGAGATTCTGGCCTTTGAATGAATGGATGCTGTAATGGGATGAGACTGTTAGGGGCCTTCTTGGGAGGGAGTGAAAGCACTCCACATGTGAGAGAAATGTAAATTTGTGACCAGAGGGCAAACTGTGGTGCTTTGAAAATATGTCCATAAATTCTTTGATAGTCCTCCCTCTAATAGGTAGAGGTTAATATCCCTCCTCTAAGAAAGGAGAAATGAGTGTATGTGTTAAGCATGTACATATGTGGGGGGAGGGGTAGCAATTGCTTAATATTGCAAAAAGAAACACTGGAAGAATAAAACAGAAACTCATGAAAATGGTTATCTATAGAGGTATAGGGGATGGGTAGAAATAGAGTAGAGGGGATAGGGTTGGCAGCAAGACTCTACTAAATATACCTTTCATCAGGTTTTTACTGTATGCCGTACACGTGTTAAACATATTCCAAAAATAACATGAGGTTGAATACTAACAAAAACAAATAAACCTAAGTGTATGTAGTAAGTTGATAACATAATGTCACAGAGAGAAATAGTTCCTTCAAGTAACTTTAGAACATAGTGCTCTGTGTGGTCTTAGTGAGCTTCCCTTGGCAGGTAAGTCGTTCATGGTGGTAGCACTGTTATAATTCTAAAACTATTCTGTATGTACTGTGGAAGAGAGAAAATGAATAAATATGCTGAAAGTTTTGGAAACTAGAATTTTCACTGTTGAGGAGATGTAGATATGGAATGAGGGAAGACGAGGAAGAACTCCATGGTACTGGATTTGGATTTGAGTTAACTACGTGAACTTCTGATTTTAAAAAATCTATTTTGAAACTTTATCCACTGAATGCTCCCAGGCACAAATGTTACTTACCTCAGTAGCAATATGCACATAAGATCCTGGATTCTATATACTATTCCCTACTGAAAGAAACCAGAGTTCCTTAGAGAAATGGCTCATTTCAGGCCTGGGGGAACAGGCCAAATACAATGTGAGCCCGGAACACTTTGATGTCCCAGAAAGCAATGAAGTGGGTCCTGTTTTAAACACAGGGAGGGGGGAGGAGGGCGGTGGGTGGGGGTGAATTGGTGATGGGCACTGAGGGGGGCACTTGACTGGATGAGCACTGGGTGTTATTCTGTATGTTGGCAAATTGAACACCAATAAAAAATAAATTTATTATTTAAAAAATTAAAAAAAAAATAAACAAAGGGAGGACAGCCTGGGTGGCTCAGAGGTTTAGCGCCACTTCAGCTCAGGGTGTGATCCTGGAGACCCGGGATCCAGTCCCGCATCGGGCTCCCTGCATGGAGCCTGCTTCTCCCTCTGCCTGTGTCTCTGCCTCTGTGTGTGTGTGTGTGTGTGTGTGTGTGTGTGTCTCATGAATAAATAAAATCTTAAAAAAAAAAAAAAAAAGACACAGGGAGCCAGGTTAAAAGGACTGGCCAGGGGATCCCTGGGTGGCTCAGCAGTTTAGCGCCACTTCAGCTCAGGGCGTGATCCTGGAGTCCCGGGATCCAGTCCCACATCCGGCTCCCTGCATGGAGCCTGTTTCTCCCTCTACCTGTGTCTCTGCTTCTCTCTGTGTGTCTTTCATGAATAAATAAATAAAATCATAAAATCATAAATAAATAAATAAATAAATAAATAAATAAATAAATAAATAAATAAATAAATAGACTGGCCAAATGTGATACAGCTGAGCATCAAAAACACTAGTGGCAGCAAAGCATTATAGCACTTTGAACTAAAGAACAATCTATGGATCCATAGTGATAATAATTAAAGGAAAGTTCTTCTTTCCTGAGGAATGCCAGCTAATAACTACAGTAAAATTAGAAGGTCAACAATGTAATCATTAATTTGAGCAAGGCTCTTCAATAGATACTAAAAGCACTGGAAAGGGATCCCTGGGTGGCGCAGCGGTTTGGCGCCTGCCTTTGGCCCAGGGCACGATCCTGGAGACCCAGGATCGAATCCCACGTCGGGCTCCCGGTGCATGGAGCCTGCTTCTCCCTCTGCCTGTGTCTCTGCCTCTCTCTCTCTCTCTCTCTCTCTCTCTCTCTCTCTCTGTGTGACTATCATGAATAAATAAATAAAATCTTTAAAAAAAAAAATAAAAAAATAAAAGCACTGGAAAAAAAGTTACTTAGTACTAGGATATTCACAAACTCCTGCCAAATGAGTTTAATCTGAATCTAAACATGAGAAACAATCAGAAAAATCTAGACTGTCGGATATCCTATAATACAACTGGTCTGAATTGTACGCCATAAGAAACAACAACAAAGGATGAAGGATGACGAGAACCACCACCAAATATAATTCATGATCTTTGATTACATTAAAAAACTAATGAAGACTTTTTATATACGGACAACTAGGTAAATTTTAATATTAATACAAAGAAGGCAACATTGCATTTGATAGTGATTTTTTTTTAAGATTTTTTTATTTTCATTTTTTATAAATTAATTTTTATTGGTGTTCAATTTACCAACATACAGAATAACACCCAGTGCTCATTCCATCAAGTGTCCCCCTTAGTGCCCGTCACCCATTCACCCCCACCCCCCTGATAGTGATTTTCTTATTTTAATGTGGTGATATAGGAAATCATCCTTATCTAAGGAGATGCATGTTCAGATTTTGAGACAAGAATCGTGATGACTTCAATTTCAGGCAAGTGAAATATAAATTGTAGGTACACAAATAAATCAAATATGATAAACATGTTGACAACTGCTACGGCATTCAATGTACTATTTTTTCAATTTTTCAACAGCTTAAAAAATTTCAAAACAAAATGTTGGGGTCCAGGTAGAGGTCACAGAATTTTGCAAAAAAGGGAAAATTTAGTCACATTGTCAAAGTGCTTTCATTTGAGTACTGGGTTCAAAAGCCAGAAGGCAGTAGTTTGCAGAACCAATGGACAGTGGAGATGTAAAGACACTGAATACAAAATTGTCTTTCAGAAGCCACAGCTATGAAGTAAACAAGAGATAGAGGAGGACAGGCTGAGGAAAAAGTTTTATTTTTTGTTTTTCTGGTTTGTTGTATCTGTAGTGTTTTGAGGATGGGAGAGATTTAGCATTTTTACATAGATGGGTAAGTGCAAATGGCGAGAAGAGACTGAAGCTAACAGAGTGAGTGGGGATAATCTGTGGAGCCAAATCTCTGAAGCAGTGAACATGGTGACAGTGGGCAGAGGTTAGGTCATGGGTAGCAAATTAAAAAGCTGACTCTTACACGGAGCTATGACAGAAGGCAGGCACAGATTATGAAAAATGGTGGGTTTTGGAGCAGGACATGAGAAGGTAAGAGAGTACCAGCCTAAGGGCATCCAATGTCTCTGGAAATTAGAAAATGATGTTATTTGAGAGTGAGAAAGAAGGGGGCAGGGCATGGGACATGAGAATGGCATAATTTTGAAATAAGTATTATGGGAAATGGGAGAGAAATGCATAAGATCATGAGAAGTCTCCTCTAGCAGTGTCATGGATATAGCAGAGATGGGAGACTGTGAAGTGGCAAACTGGTGGAAAATCCACAATTTGTATACTTTCTCTAGCAGAAGCGTCCAGAAGCCCAGTACAAAAATGGAGAAGGTGGTCAGCCTGATAAAGATGGAGGTTTTCCTATAAGTGTAACAATAATAAGAGAAAAAGGAAGTTTAAGAGATTGGCAAGTGATTGGCTGAAATAATAATACGAAACAGAAAAAAAAATAATATGAAACAGAAAGTGAGGATAAGAAGAGGTTTTAATTTAGGAGTAAATTAGAATGGCAGAATCCAGAGCAGTTGTTTTCAACCCTTATTTGAAATCAGGATTACCTGGGGATCTTTAAAAAAAAAAAAAAAAAAAAAAAAAAATCCAGTGGTGCCTAAGCCCCATTCCAGACCTAGTGAATCAGAATCTCCAGGTGTGGGTCTAAGCCATATAAATGTTTAAAATCACAAAAAGTGGGGCACCTGGGTGGCTCTGTCAGTTAAGTGCCTGCCTTTGGCTCAGGTGATGGAAAGGGAAGCCACTGCCTAGACAGGAAGGAGCATGCCCGACTGGATAGGGGTGGGGAGGGAAAAGGAGTCAAAATGACAGGGAAATCTGGCTTCAAGTGGACCAGGGAAGAGAAGGCATTAGGGAAACATGGGGCATGTTGAAATTCCTCAACATGGAAACAATTTTTAAACCAAAAAAAAATAATGTAAAATTTGCTTAAAAATAGGGTATTTTAAAGGACTAAACACTTTCTTCCTCAAAAAGTAGAATTTTAAACAATAAACCTTCATGACCACCATCAGTACCCTGCACAGTTAAAACCAAAACATACTAAAAAACAGCAGCCTGGATGAATATTATAAGGGCTGCTTAATTCCAATTTCCCCCCCATTTTGTTTGATAAAGAATACGCACCTCCATTGGATGTGATACCACTACTTGATAAAATATCTTCATTATTTGGTTCACCAGCTTTTTGTTCCATATTAATTATTGCTACCTCTTCTTAGAGATCTTGAAATAGGAGTGCTTCCCTGTTTGGTTCTTTAAGTTCTTATCTCTAGAAGACAGGGATTTGATCTTTATTAATAAAGTATTATGAGAACAAAATTCACAGAAGAGGAACTGACTTTGTTCATATTTCAAATTTAGTAATAACTCTTCACCAGGAAAATATTTATGCAGAAATATTTTATCACTACATAAAATTAATAAGTGAATATAATCTGATTGTAAAAATTGTTGCTTTTTCATGTCTAAGTAGCTTATTAAAGACAACCTGAAAATTAAAAACTAATATTTTAATTAGGATTATGATTAGTACTCGGCTTCAAAGGGCAAAGTTTTTTCTTAAGTCCCTCTCATAAGGTTACATTGTCAAATAACGGTAGAAAATATCTTCATTAAAAGTCACAAACTAATTTTTAAAAACCCCATAAATCAGCAAAGTGGAAATCATTAATAAAAGTTCAAACAGTGCTCATAATTTTAGATTAGGCCAAGAAGAGTTCTGGGTTTGGAGAACAATGGTGGTGGCCTGATTTCAAATCTCCCCCTCATCCTCTGAAAAGAACTATAAAATCAACAAGGAGAACAAATGAATAAAAGCACATGGGTTCTATGCCTTCAGCCTCCCTAGATGACAGAGTACTACAACCTTCAAATTACTTGTTAACAGAGGGAAAGTGCTTTCCAAAACTGTTCCCACCGTCTATCTATCAGCCCTGTGGGCACATACATGTAGAGAATGGATGGAGAGGCTGGGAAACTGAAAGGGAGCAGAAGGCTGGAGGAAGCACAGACATATGCACCCCAGAAAGTGAACAGGAAAAGCCAAGATGTTAGGTTCAGGTTGCAACTAGGTAGTCCACAGCCCTGGCTCCCTAGTACTAGCTTGAAAGTGGGGGCGGGGGACGAGAAGTAGCGGCTTCAGGGAAGCAGTGTTTTTGAAGAAGAGATTATCGCACAGGGAAAGGAGAGAGTAGGGAAAATTCAGGCACCAGCATAACAAAAGAAGCAAGATAGACCAACCCTCCTTGTATCTCTCCCATTCTTCTATTGCCATGTGTAATGGAAACCACCTGAAAGAGGGAAATCTCAGAACAAGAATTCTGTCCACAAAGTGACTAGGAATAGATAAAAAGCAGACCACAACTACACAAAACTATTATAAAATGTCAGAAAATGTGAATAAAATCTTTTCAAACATGAAGTTGAAGAAAACTAATATAACACTGCAAGCTGAACTAGGTGTTCCCAAACAAGTACCCGAGGATATGAAAAATCACCCTTGAATCAGAAATGAAAAACCAAGAAACACATAAAACAAGCAAGCAAATAGGAGGGAAGGAATGAAAGGAGAGTTGGCTGAGGTCAGGAAAGAAAGAGAAGGAAACGACCATATCATATCAGAAATGAAGCCCAATGACAGACTACACATGAGAGAACAGACTGTAATGAAGACTTAATCAAGGTCCTGAAGAAAATCAGGAAAACAGAAGAGAAAAGGCTGAAAGAGGAAGTGAAAGAAATGGGAGACAGGCAAAGGAGGTTGGCTATCACTGGTGTCCCTGAAGAAGTCAAAACAGTGAAACAAAACTATTATTTAAAACTATAATCCAAGAAAGTTTCCTAGAAATAAAGGAAGCCCTGAATCTACACATTTTTAATACTAGGGAATAGCGACCAAGAATGATCAACTCTGAAACAGATCTTAATAAAACTACATTAAGATTTTAAAGACAGGACGCCTGGGTGGCTTAGTGGTTGAGCGTGGGCCTTCAGCCCCGGGTGTGATCCTGGAGTCCTGGGATCGAGTCCCACAGCGGGCTCTGTGCATGGAGCCTGCTTCTCTCTCTGCCTGTGTCTCTGCCTCTCTCTCTCTCTCTCTGTCATGAATAAATAAATTATTTTTTAAAAATAACATGCAAAGCAAGGCAATAGTAGAGCAGAATTTTAAGGAAACACAAGGAAAGAGCACACAAACCAAGGACACTATATCCAGCCAAGATTTTCAAAAGAGTTAAAGCTTCCCCTGCATAGTTCAGTCAGTTAAGCATCTGACTTCTGGTCAGGTCATGATCTCAGGGTCCTGGGATCCAGCTGGTGTTGGGCTCTGCACTCAGCTTCTCCCTCTCCCTCTGCCATGTCCTCACCCCAAAACCTGCTCATGTGCACATGAGCGCTCTCTCTCTCTAATAAGTAAGATCTTTAAAAAAAAAAGTCAAAGCCATAGAAAAACAGTTTTGAAAGTGCCATAACACTGTATATATGCGCCCCTTCTGAAGAATCTTCTAGAGGAGGTGAGGCTTTATCCAAGCAGAAGATGGCTGGCAAGTATGGCAAAGTGTGAACAACTGGTGAGGTTTTTTTGGTTTTTCTATAGGCCTTGTATTTTCCAAAATAAAACTTAGGAAAAAAATGAACATTAAAAAAAAAAAATCAAAACACCATGACTAAGGAAAGCATGCAAAAGGTCAGCTGACGCACATGACCTATTCAGCTGTAAAGTTGAGACTAAAACATAGGTGGGGTAAAGGCATTGAGGAATAACATATAAATATTATGTGTGTGAAAAAGGAATACAAATGTAACTCAAAATGGGAAGATAAATGACAAAAAGGGGGAAAGTATAAGACCACTGGTTGTCAAAAAGTATCATTTAAAACTGACAGAAAGCAAAGAGTTAAGAATAAAAACAGTCTGTAGGAGTACTACAAAAAGCACTAATGCAAAGGTAACCACTAGAATAAAAATACAAACCTTCTTAAGTGACAAAAAATTTTTTTTTTTCCTAGAGAGAGAGAGAGAGAGCAGAGAGGAGAGGGAGAGGGAGAAAGAGAATCTTAAGCTGGTTCCATGTGGAGCTTGACAGAGGGTTTAATCTCACAACCCTGAGATCAAGACCTGAGCTGACGGGATCCCTGGGTGGCGCAGCGGTTTGGCGCCTGCCTTTGGCCCAGGGCGCGATCCTGGAGACCCGGGATCGAATCCCACGTCGGGCTTCCGGTGCATGGAGCCTGCTTCTCCCTCTGCCTGTGTCTCTCTCTCTCTCTCTCTCTGTGACTATCATAAAAAAAAAAAAAAAAAAAAAAAAAAAGACCTGAGCTGAAATCAAGAGTTGGATGCTTAACCATGTAAGCCACTCAGGTGCCCTGACAAAAGTTTTTTTAAAGAAAGAAAAGAAACACAAAAAAAATATAGTAAATATAATATATAGTAATCATATCACCAGAAGATGATGTAAGAATAATGTGACAGAATTTAGACCAAACACTGAATGTGACAGGACGTAACCTGCCTACTCAAAGAAAAGGATTTTCAAATTGGCTGTTAAAAATTTCAATTCTAGGGATTCCTGGGTGGCTCAGCGGTTTAGCGCTGCTTTAAGCCCAGGGTCTGATCCTGGAGACCCAGGATCGAGTCCCGCATCGGGCTTCCTGCAGGGAGCCTGCTTCTCCTTCTGCCTGTGTCTCTACCTCTCAATCTCTCTGTGACTCTCATAAATAAATAAATAAAATATTTAAAAAAAATTTCAATTCTAAAAAAATTAAAAAATTTAAAGAATTAAAAAAAATAAAAATTTCAATTCTATACTCTACACAAAAGGACACTTAAAGGCACTGATCCAAAAAGACTGCAAAAAAAGTGATAGACAAAAATTTGCCAGAATGAACACAGTAAGAGAGCACTGGTTAAAATCCTGATGCCAGACCAGGTAAGTCTTCAAGGCAGAGAATTAAATAAAACAAACGGCATTTAAAGTGAAAAGCCACGGGATCCCTGGGTGGCGCAGCGGTTTGGTGCCTGCCTTTGGCCCAGGGCGTGATCCTGGAGACCCGGGATCGAATCCCACGTCGGGCTCCCGGTGCATGGAGCCTGCTTCTCCCTCATGCCTGTGTCTCTGCCTCTCTCTCTGTCTCTGTGACTATCATAAATAAATAAAAATTAAAAAAAAAAAAGAGTTTTAAAGTGAAAAGCCACAATCCACAATAAAGATCCAGTACTTCTGATCTTGTGCCATATAACACAGCACCCACCTTAGATAAAATATACATTACAGGAGATACAGTAAGAATCAGAATCACAGTGATGGTAAGACTTTAACAGGCTGCTCAGTATGAGATAGGTCAGCTGACAAAACATAAGGATATAAAAAATTTAGATGAAATCACTGAGGTAGACTTTTTCAATATACATCAAACACAAGACTTTGATAATAGAGAATATACCTTCCTCTCAAGCACACATGTAAGGAACACTGACACAAGCCAATCATATTCTAGGGCAAAAATAAAAGATTAGCAGGTTCCAAGGCACCTTGGTGGCTCATTCAGTCAAGTGTGGGACTCTTGGTTTTGGCTCAGGGTATAATCTCAGAGTTGTGAGACGGAGCCCCATATCGGGCTCTGGGCTCAGTGTGGTGTCTGCTTGAGATTCTCTCTCCCTCTCCTGCTTCTGCCACCACACCCTATGCTCTCTCTCTCTCTCTCTCTCTCTCTCAAATAAATAATCTTAAAATAATCAGCAGGTTTCCATAAAGTAAAAATATTACAAACATTTTCTGTTCACAATGTCATAAAACTAGAAATGAAAAGTAAAACCCCAAAGCAAAAAGGCCTTTCCACCTGGAAATTCAAAGACCTATTAAACAACTGTTGTGTGATAAAGGGAATATAAAGGAAAATTAAAGAATTTCCATAAAATAATGACAATGAACACAGTACATGAGAATCTGAGAGACAGTAAAGTGGTGTAAAAAAGGAAATTCCTGGCCTTAAACACCTGTTTCAACAAAAATGAGAGAATGAGCTAAATTTCTATGACAAAAAGAAGAAAAAGTAAAACAAAAGAAAGCATATCATAGGAAATAATAAAGATATAAACAGAAATTAATGAGGTAGAAAACAGAAATACAGTAAATCAAAGTAATGAATCAGAATCCTGATTTTTTTTTAAAAAAAGCAAATAAATACAGGCAAGGACCATTGAAGTGATAAAAAAAAAAAGGAAGGTCAAAATGCTTATCATTTTTACAGTAATTCACGATTATAAGCATTTTTTTTTGTAAAACTGTAAGCTAAAGAGAATTTTTATTGAACAGAATTCCTTTTTATTTCACTCACAGTTTTTCCCTTTTGATTAATGAGGTGCCATCTGTCAAAACTACAGTTAGATAAATTCTACCTTAATGTATCTCATACTACCATTTTTAAGAAATAAGTAGTAGCTAGGGAGACATTCCATAAAGAATTAGAATAAATGGAATGTTAGGATTGCTAGGCAACTCAGATATTCTAAATAGAAGAAATTGCTATGGGAGTGGGGGAGGGAGGCCCTCATTTAAACAAGTCTTATCAAAAAAAAACAAAAAAAGTCTTATCACGAATGTTTGCTATATAACTTACATACTAAAATGATGCATTTGAGGATTCTTTAGGATGATGAAAGATACTAAGAAAATTCAAATTACTGAGTAATGTTAATATTATAAATACAGACAGATCAAGAATATGAAGGAATGAGCAGGACATGAGCAGGACACGGTTGGGAAATTACACACTGATCCACTCTCCTAGATACCAATGTTTTTGGTGTCAAGCAGGAAATACGAGTAAGGTAAGTACAACTGAAACTAAGAGTTGGAGAAGAGAAAAGAAAGGAGGAGGTTTGACTTTAGAATATTCTGATTAAAAAAAAAAAAAAACAAGTACGGGGGCACTTGGGTGGCTCAGTCAGTTAAACAGCTGACTCTTGGTTTCAGCTGAAGTCAAGATCTCATTAGTCCTGGGATCAGCTCATCTTGGGCTCCAAGCTCAGTGGGGAGTCGGCTTGAAGATTTTCTCCCTCTGTCCCCCCACGCCTAACTCGCGTGTTCTCTAAAATGAACAAATCTTAAAAAAACAAAACAAAAACCCAAGTTTGTTTATTTTGGATAAGATGATGAATGTAATAAACTCATTAATTCAGTATACCATGATAGGTGGCAGCCCTTCAGAAGGAAATTTTTTTCTTAGAAAATTAATAGTTTAAAAAAAGAAAACTGATAGTTTAAGGAAGACAGCATAGATTTATTTACTTAAACAAGAATTTTTATTATTTTTTAATTTATGTATTTATTTATGATAGTCACAGAGAGAGAGAGAGATGCAGAGACATAGGCAGAGGGAGAAGCAGGCTCCATGCACCAGGAGCCCGACGTGGGATTCGATCCCAGGTCGCCAGGATCGCGTCCTGGGCCAAAGGCAGACGCCAAACCGCTGCGCCACCCAGGGAGCCCTAAACAAGAATTTTTTATTTTATTTATTTTATTTTATTTTTAAAGATTTTATTTATTTATTCATGAGAGACACACACACACAGAGGCAGAGACACAGGCAGAGGGAGAAGCAGGCTCCATGCAGGGAGCTTGACGTGGGACTCGATCCCGGGTCTCCAGGATCACACCCTGGGCTGAAGGCGGTGCTAAATCTCTCTCTCTCTGTATTCTCATGGATAAATAAAATCTTAAAAAAAAAAAAAAAAAAAAAAAAAAAAACACTGCCTTCACTGCCTGAGTTACTACTGTTAAGTGCTCATTAACTCCACATTGCTCTTAATGCTTGCTTTCTCAATCACATTCTTTCTAGTTCTTGTTCCTTGACTATCAGGGTTCAAATCCTAGCTCTGTCATCTACTGGCTTTGTGAGTGTGAGAACAGTATTTAACCTCTTTAATACTAAAAGATGGAGATAAAAAGCGTGCACCTAAAAGAATAAGATAACTCATGGGCAGTCTTACTATATAGTACTTGCAGCAATCCCTATGCAAATGGTATCCCATAATAGTGTAGTAATACATCAACAATACTGTCTTTATAATTTAGGCAGGGTATACTAACTCACTTTCCCGTCATAAATGGCTATATCTTTCTATTCATCAAGAAAGAAGCTATTAAGTTTCATATAAGTCCACTAACATCAAAGAACATAGGTTTAAACAGCATTGAATAAACACAGATACTATTATCCTCTAATACAGAAGTATGCTATTTAAGATGTATTTCTCTAGTACATAATACTGTCTTGTAAAGAGGCAGCATGAAAGGAGGACAAGATTTAAAACCAGGAAACTTAATTCTGTCACTGGTTACCCAAGAGAGGAGGAGCAAATCTTTTCATATCTCAATTTCCACCATTACTAAATGAGAATGCAGTTGTATCTTCCAAACTTTTTTTTAAGCAGAGGAGGCCTTTCTCTAAATTGTCAGAGTCCCAACCACACACCCTCCCCTCTGCCTCAGAGACACCTTTATGGAATGCAGACGCTCTGCTGAACAGGGTTTGAAAACCACAGAGAGAAAGCCCTTGTAGCTTTATTATCTTAGAAATTCCAGCCAAGGCCTTCATCAAGCTCAAGGCTTCAGGCTCTAAAATAAATAAGATATAGGTAGGCATAAATATAATAAATCAGTATATTGGTTTTATATGTTCACAATTCTTAAATATAATCCAAAGTAAAACAAGAGATACCTTAATATATGGAAATTCTTATTTTTACTTATCCTATTAACACCTGAAAAAGAAAATATTTTAAAATCTGTGTATTAACAGATAGCCATACTTCATTACCTAAAACTTATTATTTTTAAAAGTTCAATCCACAAGTTCATTTTCCTCACCTAAGATCCCGACAACACCTAACACACACACAACCATCACCACAAAAACCTTTAAATTCTTTTTCCTTTGTGCTTATCTTGCATATGAAAGTATATTTGAATTAATAGCCTATGACACTTACCTAGGCTATGTTTGTACAACAGAACATGTCTAAGTATACACTCCCTGTTGGTCCAATGCTAATTCTGATGGTACAGGTCTCACTGGCATTATTAAGATAACACATCAAGTAAGCCACTTGCCCAGATCTTTCCAGACCAGATCTTTCTAGGTATAGTCCAAATTGACTTAAATAGACCACCTGAATGTCTTCTAACCATTTAAATTGCTTTTCAATATTTGGAGATGCTTTGACCAGGCAACAGTTCTAGAGCTTGGTTAGAAAAGTTGCTAAGCAGAATTCCCATCTGGTGAGTCAGAAATAGACCTATAAATTTTAAGCAGTGGAGCTGAGATTACAACCAACCAGGATTTTGGGCATATCTTAGTTCAATCTGAGTGAGCAATTGCCATGTGGAAAAATAAATGACAATATCCTAAGTGCAGGATTAGGCTTAATGAACAGAGGTAGGTGCTAGTTCAGGGTGGAGACATACTTTCTAAAAGCTAGAGCACCTTGAATATATACGTGGAGAACTTCCTTGTGAGGTGTTCAGGCTGAGAGGGGATGAGCATTTGCTGGGATGACAACTGCCACTGGGTGTCCTCTCAAGAGCAGAGCATTAGACTAGAAGATCTTAAGTCACAAGGAAACAGTGCTAGAATATGAAATTTAGTTTTACTTCTATTCTTTCATGCTTTAATCAGCTCTTGCCAGACCTATTACAAAATACTTCAAAGTGACCTTTCTAGCATCCGTTTCTCACAATCTTTAATAAGAGTTTCCTTTAAAATCAGACTCTTTTGCCATATTGTGTTCAAAGACTAAAATCTGAACTAAAACTGGCACCCAAGGCCCTTTAGGATCTGACCTAATCAACCTCCCAGCTTCATCTCCTGCTTTTCCCCTGACACATTCTCAACTGGAGTCTACCTGCTATGTCCTGAGGGTATCCTGCTCTTTCAGAATTCTGCTTTTATTTATACTCTTTTTTAGTTCTTTCTCTCCTTCTTAGCAAAAACCTGCAGTTCAGTTTTTAGGGCTATGGAAGAAGAGGTTCAATACTATATTGCTGGTGACAATGAACACTGAAAATCAATGTTCAATAATTAAGGGAAAGAAAACTGCCCAATGCCTCTGAAAAAAAATAATTTACTAGAGGGGACTATATTTGGAAGGCATGTTCTCCTTACTGTTCCCACATCGAAAGTAATAAGCTTCAATCATTCATGCATACAAAGCATTCGGCAAAGGGCCTGGCTGGTACATAGTAAACATTCAGTAATTATTACTTACCACTACTGGCATTAGGATAGCTTACAATGTAGGGCTGCTATGAACAGTGCTTTTGTAAATACTAGAGATAAAGCTAAGATCAAGACTGATCAAATTTCTTCCCTCACAGATCTCATAATCTAGTGGGAAAAGAAAGACACTAAGGAAACAAATAAAAAATATAATTTGGGGGAGGGATTGGGTGCAATGCAGAAACTACCACAGAGAGTGGTATACAGAGAGATGGCGCTGAGGCTACTTTAGTTAGGGCAGGTCAGAGAAGACCTTTCTGAGGCGGTGACATGTGAGCTGAATGTGAAAAAAGAGTCACCCCCACAGAGAAGGGAGGAAGTTCCTAAGAGGAAATACCACATACAAAGGTCTTGGGATGAACAGCAGTGTTTGCTGACTGACAGAAAGGAAGCAATGAGGCTGCCACATAGACAAGGGAAGGTAGGAGACCTGCTTACAGACAAACAGTTGTTTATCGTGCCCAAAGGGGCACTTACTGCCAGTTTCTTTCCTAAATTTTCCTGAGAAAGTGTTGGGGAGGTTGGCAGGGGGTAGAGCTCATAGTGCCTTGACAAGGACTTTGGGGTTTATTCTAATTGCAATGGAAAACCACTGGAGGATTTTAATAGGGGGCATATGATGCTCTCTAGCAGTCAAGTGAAATATATACTGAGCTGAAGTAGAGGCCAGTTAGGAGGCCATTGGAGTAGCCCAGCAAAAGGACAACACCTAACTCTAGAGTGGGCCAGGGGTCAAAAGTGGGTTGGTGCTGGGTTTGGGAATGGGGACTGACTGCAAGTGGGTACAAAGGCTCTTTTTTGGGGTGATGGACATTTTCTAAAACTGGATTGTAATAATTGCGCAACTCTGTACATTTACTAAAAAGCACTAGATTTTAGGGAATCCCTGGGTGGCTCAGCGGTTTGGCACCTGCCTCTTTGGCCCAGGGCGCGTTCCTGGGGTCCCGGGATGGAGTCCCTTGTCGGGCTCCCAGCGTGGAGCCTGCTTCTCCCTCTGCCTGTGTCTCTGCCTCTTTCTCTCTCTCTATGTCTATCATGAATAAATTTTTTTTAAAAAAAAGCACTAAATTTTACACTTAAAATCAGTGAATGTTATGGTATATAAATTCGACCTCAGAAAAGCAGTTCAGAAAAAAAGCTGATTGCTCTTTGCATGTACACTGTCGTGATGTTTTGTGGAGTAAGTGTGTGTGTGTGGGGGTGCATATTAGCTGCCTGGGTCCTAGAAGTCAGCCAATTAAACCTGAACACTGTTTTTTTCCTGCACCATGAAAATTCCAAAGTGTGTTCATTCAAGTGTGTTCACCAGAGGTTGCTTTTGGCCAGATTTTAACATCCCCACTCATGGAAGCACTTCTGTATTGCCTACTTTCTCCAGGCTTGGGCCTCAATCCCCAGGTGTCCAAAACTCTAATTTAATATACGTATGATGGATACCCAATAACATATTAGATAAGGACCAAGCTTAACTCACCTTTATTCCCTTAACCAGAGCAAATACAGTGACATATTAATAGAAATACAAATAAAAGTCTGAAAATTGCTTTCAGCGTTAGACTAGTTCTTTCCTATGCACCTAATTTATTTTCACTTCTGACCAAATTCTTTATGGAAGTCTTTTCCTTGAGATTTACAGGGTTCAGGAAACTATTTAGTGGTCTCCACTACTACAGGCCTGTCACTGTCCCAGCTGGGGAGCTTTAAAATATACACCAATATAGGACTGATTCCATGTGATTTATAACAATTAACATATGGATTAGCTTCCTGCAGTGGCTGTAACAAATTACCACAAGCTTGGTGGCTTAAAATACGGGCCATTCATTCTCTCACGGTTCTGGAGGCCAGAAGTCCAAAAGCAGTCCCACAGGATTGAAATTGGGTTTGTTGGCAGGGCTGTGCTCTCACTGCAGGCTCTAGAAAAGAATCTATTCCTTGCCTCTTTGAGTGTCTGTTGGATGCCAGCATTACTTATTGATTTATGGCCTCATCACTTGGATCTCTGCCTCTGTGGTACTGCATTCTCCCCTTCTGTCTGTCTGTATCAAATCTCTCTCTGTCTCTTATGAGAACACTTGTGTTACATTGAAAGTCCACCCAGATAATCCAAAATAATTTCACCATTTCAAGATCTTTGACTTCATCATATATGTAAAGACCCTTTTTTCCTTACAACGTTTACAGGTACCAGGGATTGCGACCTGATGTTTTTGGGTAGCTTTTATTCAAACTACTATACCATATAATTTGGGGTCACCTGGTTTGGGAATATGTGGTTCACAGAGGCCTGATTTCATTAAGTGTGCAGTTTTAAAGTGAGTGATTCTAACATACTAGACAACACCAAGTCTTCTTTGTCAAACACATTAATAAGGACTGTGCACACACCAAATAAATTGTCCATTTCTGCCCTCAATTTATTTGGAGAGTATCATAGTATCTCTATGGCATAAAAAAACATTTTACCCACAACACAAATAGATAACTGTGTAAGATTAAAGACAATATGCTACGGAGGTGGGAGGACCAGGTCTCTCCCACCACCCCCCCCACACACACACACACAGGGGACTAACACACAGAAACAGTCCTGCCACCTTAGCTAGTCTCTGGGATGCGTGGTAGGCACTGGCCCTTTCTTTCCTGAATCATCAGCTGATAGAGAAAGCAAGAAGTGGTTGCCAAGTCAAAAACAAAAAGATCCCGAGAAATAACAACAGACCTCATTTTTCTTCTACTTTCCCCTGACCTTACAGTGCACCAAGATGCAAGAACAAATCCTGGAACAGCCTGAGTGCTGACCTGGAACAAAATTTTATGGAAAAGGCTGGACTCACTGTTTCTGACTGATGCTCATAATAGGGCATAGCCAGATTCTTTTTTTTGTTTGTTTGTTTTTTTTGCATAGCCAGATTCCTAAGGTCACTCACAGAAAGGGCTCCAGCTGAGAGAGTCCTTACACACATTTACGACAGTCTCATTTTGGACGACAGGTTGGTGACTGTCCAAGGCTAGACATGCCTCTTTATGCCCACGTCTTCCCTAACCCATCCCCCTCCCCCTGTCCATGGGAGGGGGGTAGGAACAAAACGCGGTCTTGCTGGGACCGGATCACAGTTACTACCCTCCCCAAAGTGGAATGCTTTGCGGAGGGTCCTTTGGCCCGAGTTACAGCCACTGTCCCCGGAAGTCCTGCGATCCCCGGACACGACAGCAGTCCCTTCTGCTAAAGAAACGATTTACTGGGCATCTGCCACGTGCGAAATAAACAGGAAGGTCCGGAAGGTTCCCGAAATGCAGAGGCGCCGCTGCGGCCCGCCGGGGCACGACCCGCCCCTCACCCGGCCTCCGCGCCGAGCCCCGCCCCTGTACCTGCAACCAGCGCCTCATCCTAAGAAACCTGGCGCGTCCCCGCGGGGGTGGGGGGTGGGGGCGGCGGCGGCGGCGGCTCCTCC